AGTTTTTAATGTACATAAAGAAATTTTTCTATGTGTATCATATAATGAAGCCAAAAATACAAAAAATAGAAAGAGTGTAATTGCTTTAAAAATTCCTAGAATAGATTTTCAGCTAGACTTATTGAAATAATAATGAAACCCGAAAAAATTACGTCAATGTGGAAAGAAATTTGAGTTCCACCTATGGTAATACTAATAGCTGGTGGAAAGGTAGAATTGTTCGTCTAATACCACCGGAAGTATATTCAGGAAGCTAAATGCAATACAGCCATGTCATAAATATGTCAGATCCGATCATTTTTTGGTGAAAACAAGACGCAAACAAGAACTTGTTCATCTTTTGTAGATTACATTAGTTGTCAAAAAAACTGAAAAGTCCGAGCATCCAATTTCTTTCCTTTTGTTCATTTACTAATCAAATTCAGATTATCTATTTTTTAAATCTTGAAAGCAAAAATTCTTAATCTTTTCTTGAAGGAACGCGAGTTTTTAGCTTGATAGAAAGTTAATATTGTTATTGCTTTTTAATTAACGGGCTCATATTAACAATAACATTTAAAAAAACTTACTTATAGATAACTTACAGAGCTATTTAACAACATGTTTCTTGATTGTAAAATCATTATTAAGTCACTAATTTGGAAAACTAAACCAAATCTTTGAAATGTTTTCATATAAAATAAAAATTGACCAAATTTTTAATTATTTATGCTTAATCAAAATCAAAATTCAAATTCAAATTCAAAACTCCAGAAAGTATTCTAGCTTTTAACCGCTTGAGTTGTTTCTTTCAGTCACATGACAACTGAAAAAAAAATGTTGTTTAAATTTTTCAATCTTGTTAATTCTCTCCTCCCCTCGTTATATTTAGTTTTTCCTATAATGATGGCACTCCTTACTAAATACCAGAGGGCAAATAATAAACAAGATCCGTTTTTTGTCAGTTAGCTACGAAATTATAAAATTTCAGCATCGAAGCTCAGATAACCGTTTAGATATTTTGGTTTAATTTAGCACCGCTTAATTGGAATTAATGGTGCCCTCTTTTTGGTTCCTTAGTTGGGTTCATTTGTTTCATCTTTCAAAATTAGCACGGACAATATTTGAATGTTGCTCTTATTGCCTGCAAGCTCTGCAAGGAAAAGCTAAACGATTTTTATGAACGGTATTTGTATTCGATTGTTTGGTCAGCTCAAATGTTAATTCAATCAATCAACGACAGCAGGAAAGTTTGATTTTCAACCATAGGTGGTGCAAATTCACTCAAAAACAAGAGAATACAATTTTTGCTTCATTTAAAACACCTTATTTATATCGTTATTGGAATAAAATAAAATTGACGAAAAAGCATTGCAGAAGTTTCAAACAAAATTTTTCTTCGTCTTAGAAAATTAAAAATTCAATATAAAGTTTACGTCTGTATATCGTTTTGATCGCCTCTATGAAATAAGTAAATTTTAAACACCAGTCGGATAAAACAGCATATGCAAATGTACCACCTAAATGTAATAATGCCCCCAAAATCTTCTTCTACAGTCATTAAAAAGATTTCAGCATGTTTTTTGAATTACTGCCACTTTTAGAAAAAATTTGCACTAACGTAATGGTTTAAAAATTTCTTTGGAAATGAATCCAAATTTTTAAACAAAATGTTTTTTCCAAAGAAAATGAAAAAAAAATGTTGTAGCTGTAGATATAAAAAGCAAACAAACATGAAGACTGCTTGCAGATCTGGTCGAAATCTTGAATGTTTCGACTGCCCTTATAATGGTGTGAATTATTTTTGGTCTTGGTAACTGTTTGTTTTTGATTCCCCAAAAGCAGTATAAAACTGTAAACGGAAAACACGAATGGCCGAAAAAAGTATTCCCTGATACCTAAAATTTTTCCCCCAAAAAACAATAGTTGATAATTGATAATAAATATTAGCTCTTTCCCATTTTGTCCTTCGAGTAAGACATTGACCCTCAAACTCTATAATACAGCGGGGGGGGGGGGGGGTCAATAACATTTCGAGTATTTAGTCAGCCTTTTCTTTTAATTAGTAGAACAATTTTGAGCTATCCAAGGAACTATAAAAACAATTTTTTGACAATTTTTTCGCGACAGAGGTAAATTGGTAAAAAAAATAATACTAAATCTCGGAATTTTTGTTCCCGAATAGCTGAAAAAACAATGCGTATCAATGAAGTAGCATTTTTGCTATCTAACTCTACAAAGTCAAATATGTTATCCTTTTTTGTTCACTTTTTTGGAAAAAAAAAGGGGAATTTTAACTGAGAGCAACCCCATTTTTGTGAAATTTTTGCTTTTCACTTACATTTTGCTTTGTTGCTGAATTCTTATCAATTTTTTTTCGACTATCCGGGATTGCGGCTCTGTGGAAACGCTACCAATTAGCTAGCCGCAATTCATTTTAGTACAACTTTGATAAAGTGATAATTCGCAACACATAAAAAGTTTGCGTTACGTTACGCTTTCAACTTTATTTTATAATTTTTCAAGGCACGCATAAAAATTGTTGGAATCCCTCATACGCGAAGGAAGGACCAAATGCGCAAAAATAAAAATCAGCTAATCAGATTTCAGTATCTAAAATTTGGAAAGAAAGCGTGAAACTTTGAAATAAACTAAATTTTTTCAAGGACTTAATATTGATATTGGCCAAAAAAACTGCAATAAAATGCAATTTTTCAAACTTGCACTGAACGCCGCCAAATTGAATCAGAAATACATTTCAAGGGTTTTGTTATGAAAGAAGCAAAATATTGCTTAATTTAATTCATTTGAATAGAATGGCAATTGATTCTTTTTAAAAATTGACTTTCGGCTAGGTCCTTCGCGCATGAGTCTTTCGCGCATCAGAATAGCCACCATAAAAAAGTCCAGAACAATACCAAAGTAGCGTTTTTAACCCCCCGGAAAATTACAAAAAAGGATTGCTGGTGAAACATTTAAAAAATCTGTTTGCTTTATTTTTCTGTTCGCTACAACTAGCCTAGAGAAAAAACTGACCCAAACATTTATGTTCTTTATTTTTTTAAAGTTGAAATAAAAAGGATGATTTGGGCAACCAAATAAATGTCCTATTTCGAAAAAAAATGAAATCAAAAATTATGCACGATTTTCATGACCAGCCCCGATATCCAAAACAACCCTTTTTTCTAAATGCTTGGTGTTCAAAAAAACTTTGTGCCACAGAAGATGAAAAGGAACATGTAGCATGGCTGTTTTACAATAACTAAACGTCAGATGGGGTCGAATAACCTATACTTTTTAGCCCATAATTTTCCCTGTATAATTTGATACCATATTTTGAGTAGCCGTGGATAGTTTTTAAAACTGGTTCAAAAAATCTATTACTTTTTCCATCGTCGAATAAAACGCTCGATAGTATGACAAAGATTGACTTAAAGACAGACAAAATGATTTTTTTAAGAGTTTCACAATTTTAGTCTATGCGTTTATACTAAGATTGCTTAATACTGTTAACTGATGTACCTTTCTTTTCCATAGAAAAGTTAGACAACACTGCTATTCTAAATTTTCCTTCTTAATTTGTTCCCGATCAGACACATTTGAGATTGAACTCGATTTAAATTTGTTTTTTTTTTAAATATTTTCGATATAAATTTTCGATATAAGTTTTGCAGCAATTATATAGCAACTTTTCTTAATTTGAAACGTTGGGTCTTATGCACTAAACGGCCCAAAATCAAAAATTCTACACTTTGTTTCAATTTTAAAAAAATTAATTTTGATTGGCTAATCAGACAGTTACATTCAAAGAACGTCGTCCGGCATTTCAATAAAAAAAATCCAGCAGATAAAATTTTTGGCCGAGATCCATCGAAAACTTCATGAAAACATTTAACTGGATTTTTTTTCGTCTGGGCAAAACTTCTCAAGTTACTTGAAAACAATGCTATTATAAGTCAAAAATTTACAATTTGCTACTTTCGGCTGATGTTTTAATGGGGGCGTTCAACAGTGCCGAAGTGCAACAGTGCCGAAAAAGGTGGGAAAGTTTCAGGATAAATTAACTGCATTTTCTAAAAATCGGGAAATTACGGACGCTACTTAACAAAAAATTACTCCATTTTTGGAGCCAAAATGTCTGCAACTGCAAATTTAACAATTATTTTGGCGCCAAAACGTCCAAGTTGCAATTTTTCATGCTCAAAATTTTAAAATGTCACTTAAGATTGTGAACGATCATCGTTTAGTTTTTGATTGCCGCACTTAATGTGGGGAGAGTTCTCATGCTTGAGGGACCGAATGCTTGAAAAATTTCAACCAATCAAAATCGTTAAGCGTTCCTATTGGCTAAATGCTTTTCTCACAAAATCGAAATCAATATTAACAGAAAATGTATTACATCAGTGGAAAATAATCAAAAACATTACAAATTGCGGGTTACAACCGCAATATTGTTCAGATAAACATCAAGAATTTATGAGTTCAAGTTCATAAGAACCTGCTTATTATCGAATCGGTCAGTATTAACACTTATGGCCTGGATTTTATTTCTTGCTTTGAGATTTTTGCGATTTACTTTGAGATTTTGACTACTCAATTCTGATTGGCTCAAAGTAAGCTAACATTAATTTCATGCATTCGGTCCTTCAAGCATGGGGGACGCCACCACTTAATGTTTTCAAATTTTTGGCACTGTTGAACTAAATTTTTTTGGGACTGTTGTACTGCCCCATTTTTATCTGTTTGAAATTTTGATTGAATTTTCTGACTATGTTGCTTGAATTTGATTAGCTATAATATTTTGATAGCTCAAGAGATAAAAGTTATAAGTTTATATCGTTTTGTGCATAAGACCCGAAAAGTTTTCACAAAATTGTTTGAATTTGAATAAATTGATTTTCAATAAATTGAGTTTGAGTCCATTGAAATTGATTGTTGAACCTTTTGATGTCAAACTAAGTAAACATTTCAGACCATTACGTTATTTCTAAGAAATTGAGGGCAAGCCACTTTTTGTTATTGGGATTTATACCATGACACATGACCTTGTAAAAAGAGCTACGCTAAAGTGTTTTTTTTTAAAGTGAGGTAATTAGTTTTTTATGGAGCGTGATGGTGTCTGCCAATAGCAATGCAATAGTCAACAAACTAGCTATTCGAGCGGAGCCAAGTTGAACTAATATAAATGAAGATTTTACTGCCCCATTTTTGACACCTCTTACATACAATTGGCACAAAGAGAGAGCTGTGAAAGTTGCAACTATAAACTTTTTGAGAATAATACCACATTTTGCAGTAGACTTTAACTAGAAAATGGCCAAAATTGGATCGAGGCATCAGTGAAAGGAATTATTGAAATCTATAAGTGAGCTGTTTGTAACGTAATATCCTTTTCTTTGTTTTTCTTATTTTTTGTTTAGCCGGTTATTCGAAATTGGCGCAAAGTAGAGCGATAAATGTGCGATAAATTGAAGTGCATCTGTGACCATAGGATACCACAACACTACGTATTAGTAGCATCAAAATTCTCATACCACCACCGTTGTTATCAGACATTAAGCCCTTGTTTCCATTTCACTCTAACATTGTTTCCATTTCGACACAGGCAGTGTGTTCAAATTATTTGAAGTCTGGCAGCCCACTTATTTGTTTTGGGTGCTGGGCGCTTTGAAGACCTCTCTTTCCCCATGCACCTTTTTTCTTTTGAACCCTCTTCCGAAAATATCAAGTGCCCTCAAATCAACATCGGAAAAGCAAACAGTTTTTAAAAATTGAGTATATTGTTATTATAAGGGTAATCTTGTTGTAATATCAGGGCGGATGAAAAATGTTGAAATTGAAGGTAGAAAAAGTGGTGTATCACCATAAGCAGTTTTGACAATTCTATATATTCCCCTTCAACATTGAAAGGGTTTTCTAATTTTTTGCATTTGTTTATGTAAATACAAGCCAGAATTTGAATATTGGGGGTTGACCAGGATTTTAATCTCCTCGGCATAGGCCAATTTTTACAGACTCTTGCAACTAGTTTTTGTGCCCCTAACTAAATTAAAACTTGATTAGAAAAGAAAATTTATGGAAATTTGTAAGCGAAAATAGTTTAAGCTATTCTGCATCTCTTGTTAGCGCACCATTTGAAGCCTGGAGGGAATTGAATTAACTGGCACTTTCCAACGCTTAGCTCTTAGATTTGCCAGCCTCTTCCTTATAGACTTTATCTCTCGCAATTACGGACGGCGGTTGTATTTCACATCGATCAATTACAAAAATCCCCGCCTTCTTTTCTTTGCAGCCTTCAAAGACAAATTTAAATTGGGGTTGTATAGCGGAGCGAAGTCTGGGTTCAAACTGTGTAGAAATTGAACCTTAGGGAAATCAATCTAGGTGTCATGACAGAAAGTTCTAACTAAAAAGTCAAATTTTAACCCTCCCCCTTCAAAAGTCACGTGGTACTAGTCTTAGTCGTTTGCAATAACAATAACCTGTGAGCGTCTTCAACAACCTGGGGATCTTAAGGGCAATAATTGAGCAGCATTTTACGCCATAAAAATAACCATCAAGGTTGTAAACTTGATTTTGGGTCACGAAGTAGGATTTGGTTCATTTAATCCTGACTTGGATTGCTCTTACCTTTATTACAGCTTATCAACATTATTACAACTTGCGGACGTTCTTTATCATCAATATCCGCATCAATAGACACATTTTTGCATTTATAAACAGTTGAAAAGAATAAAAACAGTTACCATTTCAACGCCTCATATTTGCATTTTGTTCCGTATTTATTACACTGTTTTTTGTTTATTTTTTACATCAATGACGGTTGTGCTGTTCTCAGTTCAGAAATTACCACAACTATTTTATTGAAAATTATTATAATTTAAAATTTTGTTCGAAAATGTTGGACAAAATGCGCAAAGTTTCCACTGCTTTCCGGCTTCGAGCCGTGAAGAACACTGCACATGTGCGGATTGAATCAGGCGGCATTTTGGCTGTTGTTTCAGACCAGGATCCGGACGAAATAGGAGCAGACATGATCCGCCACCGACCCTCCAGCATCAAACATCTGGCCACCACCAGCGGATTCTCAGAGCAACAGCTCAAGATACTCTATAGGGGATTCAAACAGGTCACGGTTCGATTCCCGCATTGAGCGTTTTTGAATTTAACTGACTTTTAAAATCGTTATTGTAAATATAATTTCAGGAATGTCCAAATGGGTTTTTGACGGAAAATCGTCTGAAGAATGTATTGACTCAGCTTTTCCCATTTGGAGGTAACGTATACTGAGCTTTTGATCTAATCTTAGTAATAATCGAAAATTTTTATTTCAAAAGAACTTTTTCTAGATACTTCGGCCTATACAAAAAATTTATGGCGTGCTATCAATCCAAGTGGACTAACTCTTTTGAGCTTCGAGGTCAGTTAATTTTTCATTTTTTTTGAACTAATATAGAAAATGTCATAATCAACATAATTTAAGTTCGACAAAAATGATGAGCTATTCTCAAATTAGGACATAAATAGACTACGACGATTTATCCACAAGGGAAAGAGCCAGCATTCCTGCTGTTCAGCTCTTCACGGAAAACCACTGCTGTGCCCTTGGTTAAGATCCACATGCAATTTTGTTTGACTGTTCTTCTAAGCTGTGCAGTGTTGCCTCATCCTCAAGCAAGGAGCACTTGAGGGAAATCAGACGGTGAAGATGAATGTTTGGTTATTTTGTTTTCAGGACTTTCTCGCTTCTCTCACAGTGTTGCTCCTTGGATCTTCAGAGGATAAGATTATGTGGGTGTTCAACCTCTACGACACAGATCAAGATGGTTGCATCAATGTGAACGTAATTCGTTTTCTCATTCAACATTCGTCCATCTCATCATGGATACTCTTGCCATGATCATGACCCAAGGCATGATTTGTCCCGATCATGTCCCACATGGATTTATCCTTATAACATATGTCTTTTTGTCAATACTAAACTAATGCTAATTATCCGCGAGGGAAAGAATCAACATATGAGCTAATCGCCTCTGTACGGCAAACTTGTGTTGTGTCCTTGATTAAGATATCTGAATTCATTTTTTCTGGGTTGTGAAATGGTGATTTGCTCTTCTTAGGCATCGAGCAAGATGTTCCGCCAAAAACAATGATCAGCAGTGTTACATAATCGAGACGTCTAAAATCGCGTCTTTATTATGTAACATATTAGTTAAGCGAGAAATATCTAAGTATCGTTTCAGGACCTTGGCAAGACGATAGAAGCCATTCAAGATCTGATCAAGCCAGCCAATGGAACCAATGACAACGTTGAGCCTTTCGAATCTGCCTTCAGACGCTCACTCTCAGTTAGTCCTTCGACATGCAAACATGATATACTTAAAGCAAAATTATAAACGAGATAATCGACTGCTAACCAGATGTACTGCATTAGAAACTAGCGTTACCGAATTGCTTTTTAAATGAACATTTTAAAATGAAAATGGAAAAATTTCTCCTACACTGGGTTCATATAAATGAAACTTTATTTATTTTAACACGTATTAGGGCAAGCCCCTGAATGTTTTGACCATCGTTACAGGTATTTGAATTAATATTAGATTCAAAATTTTAATAAATTCAAAAGAACACTACGCGTGTCTATTAAAAACATCGATTTATATCCAGCTGAATAAAATTAAGTATTCATTCGAAGATTTGAATAAAGCGGACGGAATATACATATTTGAGGTGTCTTTGGAAAAAATTTGTTAGTCAAAATTGAAAAAGTTTTTGAACTAAGTCAAAATATATGGACGCACTGGGTCTGTTCAATATAAAAAAAAGTATGACCACCATCGTTTCTTTAAACTATGAAGGACCGAAAATCGAAAAGCTTACCATTTAACTGGACTATATAATGTGATTTTTGGATCCATTTATTGATGATGTCCAAAATGGACTTATGTCAGCTATAGTGTTACGATAATTCACTATTCACAAAAAGACTGCTCGTCAATCAGGATAAAACTTTGAAGGTGCATATACAAAACAGTCCCATACAAAAGAGTCCGAAACATCAAAAAAGTGCTAACAGAATTCTAACTTCTTTTGTTCTTCCTTGAACTTCTCGATGAGTTTTGGAATAACTGTGGAATAGTTTCACAAAATTTCTGTTCCAACCTTCTACAGCGTTGTTTGTACGGGGAAGGTAGTTTTTTACTTTTTGATGGCACCCATTGCTTCATGTCAAATCTGGCTCTTGTTGTCCTCGAGAAGTCAGCCTACCAAGATGTGTCCTCGAAATAGTTGAAAATCAGTTGATTTATTCGGATGCCATGCCTTGAAGAAGCTCGAACGCAGCCTGTCCCTGAAAAGTCAGCTCGTCCTCGAGAAGTCAGCCTATCAATTTGTGTCCTCTAAATAGTTGAGGATTGGTTGATTTTTTCAGATGCCATACCTCGACGAAGCTCGATCGCAACTTGTTTCTTTTTGCGAGGATTAAATAAGAAGTCCAATTTTAAATTGCGTTAAACTTTATGTTTCGCGTATTATTGCTTTTAATGAATAGCCGCTGCTGTTATCTAGGATTGTCTAATTTCTCTGCTTCACTACCTATTGTCACCCGGATAAGTTGGAATCGAAATCGAAATGTTTTTAATCCGAGAGAATGTTTTTGTCAGCTTCTGGAACAATTAGCGCTTCAATCAATGAGACTGTTTTTGGACTAGTTTCGGGACTATTTTTGGTACTGTTTTGCATGGGACTGTTTTTTGTACTTTGCTATGACTTTTTGGACCATTAAGTACAGAATTGTTTTGAATTGGACTGTTATGTACAGACACGAACTTTGAATGATCCGACTGCCCCTTAAAATTAAAGAAGAATTGTTGCCTTAGAAAATGAATGGACCACCTAAGAAAAATATTTGATTTTCCAACATTTTTAAACCCTTTTTATACCCCAGGCTGTGTTAAACAGTTTTCAAACCCATAGTTTAACAAAAAATTGTCACAAGTTTGAGCTCAAGAAAACTAAATTTTCCAGATGGTAACAAGTGCAAAAATTTATTTTGAAATTCAAGTGAATTTGACTTGGGTCTTGGTTTTTGAATGTTTTAGGCTTCACTAAGGTTTCTACTAATGATTAATCAAAAATTTTCACTCACAAGTTTTTACCTTAACAAATTTTCGTGTTCAATTTATTGAAAAAGATCTCAAGAGAAAACTCAAAGTCTTGCACGACTTGTTTATTTCAATAAATCAAGATAGAACAATGTTGAGAAGTTAATTTTTGGTAGCTAGTTGCCCCCACCTAGAAACTATTTGAACTATTTCGACTAGCTATGTGTTTCCTCTCAATTTCAGAGACTAGATGCTGACCGAGATGGAGTCATCTCTCGCGAGGAGTTCTTCCGATACATGAAACGGGTATGAAACGAAATTTTGTCATTCTGGCTCTTCATTGAAAGTTGTTTGAACTAACAATTTTTTTCGCTTTCGTTTCAGAGAGACATTGAAGAAATTCTGACGTCGTTTGATGTTAATTTGATCACAACAGCTCGATAGCAGACCAACACACACACAGACGAATCGATAAAAACGAGACATGGAAAACTATATTAGAAACATCTCGAAATTTTAATCCATTTTTTTTATAATAAAATTTTGATTATAAACAATAGTTAGTGAAACTCGTATCCAATGACTTGAGTTTCAAAATTTGTATTTAGAAGCGTAGTTTGCATAGTAACAAAACATTATTTTCAGAACTTTTTCTATATCGTAGGCAAATAAGTGAAAACAAGAGAAGTTTTTAGCTAGAAGAGAGCACATCTGCGAATAAAATTGTTAGGCAACACGGTACTGATTTGTATAGAAAACTACGGGCAAAACTAGTAATACTACAATCTAAGTATATATAATTTTTGTTCCGACCAACCCCTTCGGTGGGAAGAGGCTATGGCGTAACATGTTTTTTTCTTCCCAATTTTGACTCAAAAAAGAGTAGAAGAGTAAGATATTAAAACTCTTTTCAATTGGTAATGGGATTCCGAATTTTTTAATTAACTAAAAGCAGACAGATTAAATAAAAATTTCGCTTCGGTCTAGCTAAAGTCAAATCAGGGGTCGATTACGGTCAGGTCGAATCATGAGTCAAACATGTCAAATGGTGGAAAGAACAGGCTTGAACATGGTTCAAATCATGAGGCCAGGAGGGTCAAATTTTTTGATAATAACGAATGTTCAAGTTTTAAAAATAATTTCTGTAAAAACTACAACGCGAAACTCAACTTCGAAAAGTTGCTCAGCGAAAACTAGAAATTTAAATTTGTGATGTAATGTCTTAAACTGCTTGAACGGCCTCAAGCGGGGACATTCGGAATGAAGATTGATCATGGACTATGGAAAAAAAACAAAAGATGACGGACTTTTTTTTGCAAAATATTAGATTTCTACCGCCTAAATTGATATGTTAGAAGTCTTCATCGAACAGCTGAAATTTCAACCAATAGTAAATTGCCGCATGAGACGTGGTTATCTGAAACAACGTCTAAAATTAACTAAAATGTCCATTACTTCGATAAGGACAATTTAAATGGCTACCAAGAACTGAGAAGCTGCTTTCGCTTCAAAACAGTGAAGTTGTGAAACTTTATGCATAAAGTGAACTCAAAATAATAAAAATAAAGAAAGCAAGGACAATTCGATACAAACATTATAAAGCAGTACTGAAAATAATCAAAAGAAAAAAGAAAAGTTGTAACAATTGTCTACATACCTCCAAATTCTGGTACAGACAAAGTTCTTTACAATTTAGGAAATCATCTTGATGGAATCTTTATTCGCATAACAGATAAAACATCTTGTTTGCCGCAGTTTTTAAATAAACTTTTCCACAAGTGCAAAAAAAACTAATTTAACAGAAATAGAGCAAGAAAACATTCTCTTCCTGAGAAGCAGAAATAAGCCAACAAGAGAAACAGAAAGTTGCGAATCTCTGACAGATATGTTTTTCCTATTCATAAAAATATGATGGATTTAATGAACATTGATTTATTTGACCATTTTTGCTCTAAATTTTCCATGCAAGATTTTTGAGAAATAGAATCTAATATTCAGTATAAGTGGCAATGCATCAAACAAAACGAATGAGATACTAACGAAAAGCTCGAACTACCGAAGAACTGGATCGTTTTCTTAAGGAAGCACCATGCTATTGATACATAGTTTTTGATTACCATCAACACACTACCACAAGCGATTAATAGGTTTTTCCTATTAAAAAGACAAAAACCAAAATACGAAACAAAATGGATGGACAATGAATTAAGAAAGCTGCCGTAAAAATTGACAAAACAAATTTGAACATGGATCTGGTACCATATAACAAGCAATCAAATTTTGAAAAAACTTACAGTTTACAAAGGCACATCAAGCAATCTTGACTGAGACCAACAAAGGGCTGTGTCAGTACAAGTTTTCTCTAAAAGGCCGCAAGTTTTATATGAATCACATTTGGAAAAAAACAATTACTTGGTAAACATCAAACACTAAGTCCGATTGACTAAAAAACATTAGAAAAAATCAAATTTTTTTTATACTTGGGATTTCATGTAGACTAAAAAATGAGTTTTTACGATAATTTAGACAAAATAACAAATTAGTTTTTCCAAATTTAAAGAATTCTCCATCAAATGCACAGAAAATTGAAATCAACGCAACTGGTGTAAATTTATAAAACTTACCTTCAACAGGTTTTACAAAATGAGAGACTTGCGTACGGTAACACGGACTTAAAAAGTTGCCACTTAAACTAAATTTGGAAGAATAAGTAGTATAGTTTTTGTCAAATTAGGATTTGCTAAAAGTTCTTTCGAAAAAAGAACTACCAGCAAATTTTTTCTTTCAAACAGAGCTAATTCCAAACAAAATTCTGAAATTATTTACAGATTCCATATGGAGGGGATGTAAATTAAGGATTCTACAATCAACAATAAGTGATACTGAGATAATTAATCTACAAGCTAAACGCATCACGGACAAAAATTAACCTTAATAAACATCATAATCATAAATTATCTCTTAGCATAAAATTTAGGCAATTAGTTAAACTAGTTCTAAATGTTTTCTCTTTGAACAGAATTCGTCAAAAAAGAAACAAAAAATCAAATCAGCATTTTCAACTACTTTCAACTACTGTTTTCCAGAAAGTTGTATTTTGATTATAGGACGGGTTCTAGTACCTTTACGTTTTGAAAATTCAAAACAATCAAATTAATTTTTTATTTTGTTAGTTTTTCAAAGAATGCTATTATTTTTCCGGTTTGTATGGTAGCTGGTTCAGACTTGTCCTGGTTAGTATAATTTTTTTTTATTGAAATAGCTTGGAAGCCCTAAAATGCTACAATCAATGAAAACTTGTAGTTTGCCGTTTTTATTAGACACGGTTGATGTTGATTTTATTTGCATTATAATTTGAAAAACAAGTCAAAATTCAAAAACGAAAACTTAATTATACCAGCTTTTGTTGAAAATTTTATTGACATTTGTGCATTTTTTGTAGATTGCGTTTTTCTGATGTAGAGAGCTCAGATATGGCAGTTTTTTAGATTTTTGCTGTTTCAAAGATGCAAAAGAATGTGCTCCTAACGTGAAAATGCAAAAATTGATAAATTTCAAAAAATAGAAGCCAAAACACTGCTTTTACTATCAAAATCTCATTTTTTAAAGCTCTGACTCGATAGCTGTTTTTTTTTCCTCATATTATTTTTTGCGCAAAATAAAAGTGATGTAAGATTGCAAAATAAACCAATTTTTTCATTTTCATTGTCTTTGCGCAAGGGTGATAAAATATATATTTTTTCCGAAACGAAGTTGAGAGATATCATGCATACAGGAAAAAAAAAGAAAAATTTGTAGATTTTTATAAATTTTCGGTTGAATTTTTTCTTTCTATAGTACTATTTTTAGATATTTTTAGATTCTTTGTTTTATAAGCAAGTAAGTTTATAGTTTGCTCGCATAACGCATAATTTAGTGCAACGACTTAAGCTGAGCTTTGCAGCTTTCGGCGATACAAAAATGGATGAGGATAAAAAAAAACTTCCTTCACTCTAATTAGCATAACTGACAACTAACAATCAAGATGCCATGGACTCTACTGCAAAACCAAAAACTGAAAAAAAACAAGACACATATTTATCTGCAGTCAGATGAATTCATAGGCTTCACACTGGGCTTCACAAGTTAAAAAAAGGTTGTAAAAGGTTTGTTTCATATTGTTTTGTTTAAGCTTTAATTTGCAAAATCTTACTACTAATAAGAATGCTGATACCAAACCAATATGAAGCTGGCGGAAAAAAATTAATGAACGTCAGCGTGTCGAAACAAAATACACAAGGAAAATTGTCAATCGTTTGTCTCGAGTGATGTTCAGCATGATAGAAAAAATTCGAAAACGAAAAATGCAAGCGTTAGACAAGCAAAATCATTCAAAAATTTTCACTGTCGGCAAATAAGCGGACCATAAATAATTAGACGTCCGTTTTGTCGTAAATTGTAGTCACGAGAAGTTTTGAAACTCGAAGTTTTTTTATGCTGAAACCTTTGAAAGCAAAAAATGCTATGTTAACACTTCAAAAAAAAATAATTTGAATAGGCCAAAAATCATACGCTGAATCCATTTAAACAGAGAAAACTTATCGAAGCAAAAAAAAAATTAGGGACTGAACCAAGGCGACATTTTTTCTAGCTAAACTTGCTTCAACCAGAATCAAACTGTATGATTCAGAAACTAAGCCGTCAACAAAAAAAATAGAAGGCAACTGATAGCCGGATAATAAAAACTTTCCTCGAAAAAAATTCAATAGATAAAAAATATCTCTCTCTGATACCGGTTTCTTTTTTTTTCAGCAGCGGTTTTGACTACCTCTTATGCGGTCAAGGGAAGTACCATATTAAAACTTTTTCAATCATATTTCAAGTGTCAATAATTTTCGAAAAAGATGCCTCTCAGCTGATAAAAACTGGCCTGCATTTTCTAATTTTTTTTCAGACAAAATAGATGAAAAAACTGACAGAAACAGGATGAAAAACTTGACAATTTATTACAAAATATGAACCAACCGCAATCAGTGAAAATCAGTCTCTAAAATTTAAGAAAAAAAATTATTTATAATCTGTTGGAAATGGGTTATTTTGTTGCTGTTTTTAGGCAAGTAAATCTGTTTTTAGCCAATTGATATGGATTATAATTGATCAAATTCATTTTTTTCTTCAAAGATTTTATTTTTTTTCGAATTTGATTATTTTTATTATCTTTTTTGCATACAGGTTGCTGATGATGTAGGCGTTTCATAGATATTGAATAGTTTAAAAAAGTGGAAACAGCATTTCAGCAGTTTTAAAATCAACTAAAATATACAATTTTGTATCCAAATTTTTTTTTTCATCAAAATATCAGCGCCTTGTTTCATATTGTTGATTAGTTTGGCTTATTTACATAACGCGGTAACCTTTCAAAAATAATATGAAGGATTCTTTATTGTTCAGATGAGCTAAATTGAGACAAGGCATCTCCTGTTAGAGTTTGTCAGCAAAAATGTAAGATGTAAAAATGTATTTTCTGTCCAAAAAAACCAAAAAACCAAAAATGCAAGCGTTAGACAAGCAAAATCATTCAAAAATTTTCACTGTTGGCAAATAAGCGGACCATAAATAATTAGACGTCCGTTTTGTCGCAAATTGTAGTCACGAGAAGTTTTGAAACTCGAAGTTTTTTTATGCTGAAACCTTTGAAAGCAAAAAATGCTATGTTAACACTTCAAAAAAAAATAATTTGAATAGGCCAAAAATCATACGCTGAATCCATTTAAACAGAGAAAACTTATCGAAGCAAAAAAAAAAAAATTAGGGACTGAACCAAGGCGACATTTTTTCTAGCTAAACTTGCTTCAACCAGAATCAAACTGTATGATTCAGAAACTAAGCCGTCAACAAAAAAAATAGAAGGCAACTGATAGCCGGATAATAAAAACTTTCCTCGAAAAAAATTCAATAGATAAAAAATATCTCTCTCTGATACCGGTTTCTTTTTTTTCAGCAGCGGTTTTGACTACCTCTTATGCGGTCAAGGGAAGTACCATATTAAAACTTTTTCAATCATATTTCAAGTGTTAATAATTTTCGAAAAAGATGCCTCTCAGCTGATAAAAACTGGCCTGCATTTTCTAATTTTTTTCAGACAAAATAGATGAAAAAACTGACAGAAACAGGATGAAAAACTTGACAATTTATTACAAAATATGAACCAACCGCAATCAGTGAAAATCAGTCTCTAAAATTTAAGAAAAAAAATTATTTATAATCTGTTGGAAATGGGTTATTTTGTTGCTGTTTTTAGGCAAGTAAATCTGTTTTTAGCCAATTGATATGGATTATAATTGATCAAATTCATTTTTTTCTTCAAAGATTTTATTTTTTTTCGAATTTGATTATTTTTATTATCTTTTTTGCATACAGGTTGCTGATGATGTAGGCGTTTCATAGATATTGAATAGTTTAAAAAAGTGGAACAGCATTTCAGCAGTTTTAAAATCAACTAAAATATACAATTTTGTATCCAAATTTTTTTTTCATCAAAATATCAGCGCCTTGTTTCATATTGTTGATTAGTTTGGCTTATTTACTCAACGCGGTAACCTTTCAAAAATAATATGAAGGATTCTTTATTGTTCAGATGAGCTAAATTGAGACAAGGCATCTCCTGTTAGAGTTTGTCAGCAAAAATGTAAGATGTAAAAATGTATTTTCTGTCCAAAAAAACCAAAAAACCAAAAATGCAAGCGTTAGAAAAGCAAAATCATTCAAAAATTTTCACTGTTGGCAAATAAGCGGACCATAAATAATTAGACGTCCGTTTTGTCGTAAATTGTAGTCACGAGAAGTTTTGAAACTCGAAGTTTTTTTATGCTGAAACCTTTGAAAGCAAAAAATGCTATGTTAACACTTCAAAAAAAAATAATTTGAACAGGCCAAAAATCATACGCTGAATCCATTTAAACAGAGAAAACTTATCGAAGCAAAAAAAAAATTAGGGACTGAACCAAGGCGACATTTTTTCTAGCTAAACTTGCTTCAACCAGAATCAAACTGTATGATTCAGAAACTAAGCCGTCAACAAAAAAAATAGAAGGCAACTGATAGCCGGATAATAAAAACTTTCCTCGAAAAAAATTCAATAGATAAAAAAAATCTCTCTCTGATACCGGTTTCTTTTTTTTCAGCAGCGGTTTTGACTACCTCTTATGCGGTCAAGGGAAGTACCATATTAAAACTTTTTCAATCATATTTCAAGTGTTAATAATTTTCGAAAAAGATGCCTCTCAGCTGATAAAAACTGGCCTGCATTTTCTAATTTTTTTCAGACAAAATAGATGAAAAAACTGACAGAAACAGGATGAAAAACTTGACAATTTATTACAAAATATGAACCACCCGCAATCAGTGAAAATCAGTCTCTAAAATTTAAGAAAAAAATTATTTATAATCTGTTGGAAATGGGTTATTTTGTTGCTGTTTTTAGGCAAGTAAATCTGTTTTTAGCCAATTGATATGGATTATAATTGATCAAATTCATTTTTTTCTTCAAAGATTTTGTTTTTTTTCGAATTTGATAATTTTTATTATCTTTTTTGCATACAGGTTGCTGATGATGTAGGCGTTTCATAGATATTGAATAGTTTAAAAAAGTGGAACAGCATTTCAGCAGTTTTAAAATCAACTAAAATATACAATTTTGTATCCAAATTTTTTTTTTCATCAAAATATCAGCGCCTTGTTTCATATTGTTGATTAGTTCGGCTTATTTACTCAACGCGGTAACTTTTCAAAAATAATATGAAGGATTCTTTATTGTTCAGATGAGCTAAATTGAGACAAGGCATCTCCTGTTAGAGTTTGTCAGCAAAAATGTAAGATGTAAAAATGTATTTTCTGTCCACGATAAAATACATTAGTGTTTGATATTATATTGTCAAAGTAAGAGAACAAAATCTGTTATAATCAATTGTGATATATTTTCAACACAATTTATAGCCGATAATATTTGATTATGATTTATTTTAATCTCTTGAAAAATGTTATATAAACGATTTATTTTTCAATATGATAACATTTTTCCAGCAATTAAAATAGATTCTAACTAATTATAACCTGTTATAATAATGTTGAAATGTTCAAACAATTTATATTTGATTATGATAAAATCTAAATTTGGCTCTTATATAGTTCTAATTTTTATATAATTTTATTTTTAATTGAAACTTAATCGATTATTTTTTCTTTTTACTAAGTGCGGGCACTCAGTTGTGACTTTTTCTAATATCATCTTTTCAACCACTTTTTTTAACCTTTTAATAGCCGTAACTTAATTTTATTTCATGTTTTTGATATTTTATTCGCCAATCAGTGTGGCGAGAACATTCTGAGCTAATTGCCCAGAAAACGCTACCCTTCACTTAAATGCCATAGCTTGATAGGTCAATTTTTTATTTGCAAATCTTAGAAATGCAGATCTTTGCAGCTTAACTGTTGGACGCGGACTAGGGTTCACCATAACGCGATATTCTGTGCTGGATTGGTCTGCTATTTTTCAATTTTTTTTCGCCAAGTTTGAGCTGGCGTCTGATCACAATAAACACTGCCACCGTCTGAAAAACTAAAACCGCATACCGGCTATAGTTAAATTGTTTTAGTCATTGAAGTCGTTAAAATTGAGTCATTGTTTTTCGTTTCGATAACTGTCATGAGGCCGTAATTTTTAATGATTTAACTAAACTAATGAAACAATAACAATCGAGCAAGAACTGAAGTCATATAAAAAACTAACGAAGCACGCTTACGTTAAACTGTGAGAACTCACATGCTGACTCTGATTTGTTTATTGCTTTTCTCTTGGCTGATTGATACTGTGCTTGTTGGTGCGGCTCAGATTCCTAACCCATGGACTGAATACAGAGACTGCGGATTGAAGCAGCCAGGATACATCTGTGACCCGGATCAGCTGATGACCTCAAATGACAGAAACAGTTTGAACAGTTACCTGAGAAGTTCTTTCCAGGCGAGCAACCAAACTATTTAATTTGTAGGGGGGGGGGGGGGGGGTGGGGGCTTGGTTCAAAACGCTTCATTTTTGCATTTTTGTTCCGACTATTAAGAGGTGGGCATGAACTATGACGTAGGTTCTACTTTTTAGCCAATTGTGACTGCATAAAAATAAAATCCTCAGGGGATAAATGTATTATTACATTTAAGCCTTATTGATACTTACTCGGATTAAAGAAAAAAAATCCGTTTTCAGACTAAATCATACCGAGGGTGACGGAGAAACTTGATTACAGGATGGCCCCTCAATTTAGTTCTAGTGCAATTATAACGACATTTTAATATTAGTTGCTATTGTAATTCGTTCTTTCTTAAAAAGCTATCGTTAAATTTCGAAACAAAATGTGAAAAAGATAATGGACATTTTTTTTTTCATTTGATCCATTTTTGTCAATTTTAAATTGTTTAACTTATTTTTGCATTACAAGGCCAATTTGTGGACTGAATAGGCACACAATTTGGTGTCTAAGAACCACTGGATTTCAGGGACAAGTCTTTAAGCATGTTCCTAAATGTAAATGGATTCCACTTACAAAAGTTCTTTGGATTCCACGCACAAATAACTAGCGTAAATTTTGCCGATAGATTATTTTCGTCGCGGATTTCGCGAGGAGCGATTATAGCTAGTTGTTCCGGATTCTGCAAATTTAAGCGGATTCTGCAAATTGTATGGAAATTCCGCAAGTGTCAGCGGATTCCGCAAAATTGTAATTTGTAATGTAATGAATACATATTTCTACTAACAATAACCTTTAGAAAGAAATGATAATATTAAAGTTGTTTTGTTCAGGGCATTCAATTGGGATCAAGCCGCAACTGCAATTATAGGAATGGATCCCTTGCCTCGGTTCTCATAGTTTACGATATTCGAGACTACTTTCCAAACAGTCCTAACATGTCGGATGAGTCACTGTACGAGAAGCTAGCAGACAAACTTCGACTAGACCTCTGGCCTTTCGGGTCATGTAGGGACAATATTTATGTGGTGTTCGGATACTTGCCCACGTACAAAGTGTGTCCAGTGAAAAAAAGTGTGCAAATACAACCAGTTTCTTGTCAGGTACTCTTTTCAATCTGCGGGGATCATCCAAAATTTTGGGGAAAAAAATTCCTAATGCCCTCTCAATACAAAGAAAGATCTTAATCATATCAATGGAGAATAGTCTATAAATCGAAGCTTTCATATTTGCACTAAGGATAGCTCATATTTAAAATCTTACACCAATTTAATTCAAGAGCCGAACTTTACAATTTGCTCAATGTAAAAAAGCTCTGGCAAAGGGACCGTTCTCTGAAAAATCTTTGGTTTCAGCTTGAAATTATCAGCGGACGGCTCTGGACTAAATAAATTCGACTCTCAAATAGATCTCCCGTTTGAGTTGAAGTCAAACTTCGAGGCGACATTTTTCAAAGAAAATTCAGAGAAGCAGAGACAAGATTTCATCAAGGGCGCCATTGACTTCAGCCGACCACTGCTCGACTCGTTGAAGGAACTCATAACTGACATTAAGTCAATTATGGACACAGTTCCAAATGATTTCGTGGAGTTTAACAATGAGATCAATTTTGAAGTCACTGGTTTCCAATGGGGCTTTAGTTGGTCAGCTGCTCTTCGATGTAAAACATTAATTATATTTTTTCTGCCAACAGCAATTTTTTTCCTTCCTTCTATTGTTGGTATCATCTAATTTTAAAAAGTATATATTTAGTTTTTTTACTCTAAGAAACTTTCAAAAAAAGGCGTTCCTTCAAACAAAATGAAGCCAAGCTCGAGATGTTTAAATAATCATGAAGGTAAAAAAATGTTATTTGACTCACGTGATTTTCTATGTTTGCGTTTCCGAATAGCTTTTCAAAGCATCAAGAACACTTTTCAAGGCAATACTCGGGCTCCATAAAACCTTTTTTGTTTTTCTTTCTGAGAAAATATGTGCTTTTGTTTTGCAAATTTTCACATCTCGTGGCTTCTGCAGGTGGTTAAACAAAATGTAGAAAGGTCAGTAAAAGTAAAATAGAAAGAAGTATCGTTCTCATAACTGTGAAATCGGGGAAGAATTAATTCTAATGGCTAAGCCAATCGTGAGGCTTGAAAAAGTGTTGACATTTTGTTCGGACATCTCACACGTGATTTTTCATGATATCTAGTGAATAATCTTAATATTCGGATCAACCTTCGGAAACCTTTAAACTCTACTTTTTAAATTAAAACCGTAATTGTAGAGGACACAGCTACCATAAAATCTTTACAAAATTTTCTTGAAGTTGATCGTTTTTAACGGCATGAAAGTTTCTCCCGAAAATGAAGATGAAGACGTTGAACACGGTCAAACTCCTTCTTTCCGTTCAAAGACGGGCGAAGAGCGGGACAGAAAAATTAGCAAAATGAGTGTTCTAACTATAAATGTGGCTTCAACCGGGAAAGCCGGAGATAGCGAGACGCAGGAAGAGGCCAAAGAAAACGAGGGTCCAAAACCGAGATTGACTAGAATCAGAGAACTCACGGTAGAAACGGCGAATGCTCTCTCACCGCAGCTGTTCGCTCCCTCACTTCTGATGAAATTGATGTGGTTTCTGGTTTATTCTGCTTTCATCTATGTCTACATCTTGCAGACGATGTACACTTTGAGTGATTACAATTCACATCCTGTGATCGTCTCGGTTTATCTCCGAACTGACGCTGTCGACCTGGAGTTCCCGGCTGTGACAATTTGCAATAACAACATTGTGCGAAAAACGTCACTTTCGAGAATCAAGTACCTGCAGGACTTAGCATGGTTGGATGATTTCTCACGACAGACTCTTAAAGATAAGCACTACAAAGACGACTATGGACCACCCGAATGCGATTGGGGAAATCAGTTCGAGTGTCGAAACGGACGATGCATCCCTAATGCATGGGTGTGCAACGGAAGGTCGGAATGCGGCGATGGGTCTGACGAAAACCTGAAGCATGACGGATGTGAATTCTACCCTTCGCGAAACATTTCGGAATCAACCTGCGACCAGGGTTATGCTTTATGCCCGGGTGAAGTTACATGCGCAAGGACCTGCGACAATGTCGCAGATTGTGTCGTGGAACGAGGCTATGACGAGAGAAACGAAAGTGGTTGTGTCGCATCGTGTGTTCGGGAGATTATTGTCTCGGAAAAAATCGAAAAATTGACTCTACCAACTTATCCGAAAAATTACTCGGCTGATTCTAACTGCAAATATACTCTATATGCCCCTGTTGGATTTATAGTTGAAATAAAGTTCACGAAATTTGAGGTTCAAAAGAGTTCTATGTGTCTGAACGATTGGGTTTCACTGCGTGATTCAAGTGGCATGACACTTGAAGTAGATGGAAATTACACTTTTTGCGGAAGTTTTAAAGAATCTGGTCTCGCAGGCAAAAAAATAACTTCAACTGCAAGTAGCTTGAAAGTCCACTTCATTTCAGATTCTTTCGAAAACGCACTGGGTTTTGAAATTGAGTACAGAGCAATCAACAGTCGCAAGCGAAGGTCTTTCTTTCCACCAACAACTCTGTATCCGCCTGAAACTACGAGAGACATTCCGCCGGAGGAACCACTTGGATTCCCTCCTGGGTACAACTCTACGGCAGCTTCCACATTTTGGTATTACAGTAGCAGCAGTACAACATGGTATGACTACTCTTCCTCCTCCACCGAACAGAGTCCGATTTTCGAAGAAAACCTGGATCCCAATGGCGATTCAGACAGCCAAGTCAGTTTCATAGACACTGGAAACGTGTTTGAAGAAGTCAGGCAATATGACTGGTACAGTGCATTCCAGCAATCAGCAATGCCAGACTATTCAGACTTCAAAGCTTTCATAACCCTAAACGCATCCGAAATTATCGGAAATGGACACCAAGTTGAGGATTTCATTGTTCAGTGTGTGATTGACGGTCAACTTTGTTCCTATCATGACTTCAAAACTTCCCAATATGCGGAGTTTGGCAACTGTTTCAGCATCAACACAGCAGTTGATGCTTACTCCAACAAAACCAACTTGGAACCCTACAGGACCACCAAAACTGGAACCGAACACGGACTGAAACTCTCACTTTTCCTGGACAAAGACGAATACATCGGAATAATTGGGCAGAATTCTGGCGCAAGACTTACAATTTCAAACTCAGACGAGAGCCCGCCAATAAACTCCAAGGGTATCTTTTTGAGCGCAGGTGCTGCGACGATCATTAGCATGGAACAAGAGAAAATTCTGAAGCAAAAAGCACCATTTTCAAACTGTGTTGAAAACTGGCCCGCATTTTTGGAGCTGAGGGAAAATTTCAAGAAGTACAGCTACACGACTGACCATTGCAACTATTTATGCCAGCAAGTTGCAATTGCGAAGCAGTGCAACTGCACTCTTCTGGCATTTGAAAGGGACTTCAGTGCCAACGACCAAGTAGATTCTTCAATGCAACAACACTGCAATTTGTTCAACAATCATCAGTACGACTGTGTCACGGCAGTCAAGAAAGATTTCACAAAAAACAGAAGAACTTGCGACTGTCCTTCGCCTTGCGAGGAGCGACGGATCGACGCTGGAGTCTCTTTGACTGAATGGCCGACCGAAGCATACGCGACTCACTTCGTGTCTCTGCTGAAGTCTTCACCATCACTTAGAGTCCAACGATTTCTGGCCAAAGCAAGGGACTTCTCGTTGGGTGGTCAGGATGTCGAGGCACTGACTGAGATCCTGAGAAAGAACTTCGCCAGAGTGGAGATACATTTTGCCACCCTCAACTACTTCCAAATCGAGGAGTCCCCCAAGTACACATACCAAGATCTCTGTGGCACCCTAGGGGGCAACTTGGGCCTATGGCTTGGCTGGAGTATCATGGCACTGATTGAGATGATACAATGGATGTACTTCTGCCTACGAATTCTGCTCATAAATGACTCACAATAGAATCTAGGAAGCAGCTTGTATTTTCAGCGTACGTTCTCATAAAGAAAGATAAATTGACTCAGTACTTTATGTAAATTTAAATTAAGTTTGAAATGAAGCACATGAACTGTATCTTTACATATGCGTTTTTTGTACACACAGCAAAATAAATAAAAGAATTTTTTTTAATTTCGAAAGTTATATAAAAAATCTAACGTTATTGAAAAAAAAGTTTAAAAATTGAATGCTCTTTAATTAAAAAAATGTAAACTATTTTTCTAAATTAATCAATGCTTCTCTATTTTTGTAATAGTTCATTTTTTGCTTGTTATTTTTCCAAATATATGATAGCCAAAAATCAAACTAAAAAACATCCATTAAAGTATTTGTTAAAAAGTCCGTGTTAATGCACTCTTAGCTATGCTCTTGTTGATGCACTCTTAGCTATGCGAGTTTTCTAAGAGCGCAATAGGCCACCGATTAGCGACGCAAAAGTGGTGGGAGACTTAGATCTCAGTAGTCGATGGCCTCTGTTTTTGTTTCACTTTTTTTTTCAAATCTTTGTTGGACAGATGATGTTTTGATTTATAAAACGCAAACACGAAATGCGAATTGTGCAAAAGTAATGGCAATAATTTTGCTTTGCTGTTGGCTGAACATGCTACTTGAACCGACCCAAAACTTAAATTTTCTAACAATTTAAAAAGAAGTAATTATCAAGAAACATACTATGTTGAATGGTAAGAGAAAAAAAAAGAAAAAAGGAATAATTTCTTTCAAAATTACTCGCAACCTGTTTAAAAGAAAACGAAAACTGAAAAAAACCAATGATATATTTGTAAGGAAATATTCAGCAAAACTTCAGCCTCCAAAGAATAATTGAAATTTATTTAAAAAAATCAGTGAAGAAAACTTGCTTTGCTCCCAAAATTTCCCAATCCTAATTAAAAATGTCTCTATCCTAATACGTAAGTTGGGCTTCAATAAGATTGCTGTCTAAAGATTTTATCTCCAGAAGGTTTTCATTTAGTATTGACGGAATTTGAAATCTTTTCAATTAAAATAGCAGACGTTTTTCTGTCAAATTAGGAAAAAAAATTGACGCTGTGAAAAAGATGTCGATTGTCATTTGCTCTTTTCCGAGGTTTAACTGTTCGTATCCACGACACCAGCTTAAAATGTAGATCCTTAGGAACTGATTAAAATATATGGGCCTTCAACTTCAAGACCTCTCCAAATTATGATATCCGATCCGTCAACTTCAAAGCCTCTCAAGATGTATCAAAAAATGTGCATAAGTCGAGAATTTATCTTGAGAGGTTTCTTATTGTCATTATTTTGATTGGACAATTCGAAAACTGAATTTTGTAATCGATACTGTATGAAAACCTTTTGGAGGTAAAAAAAGGATTTCAAGGAAAAGTCAGCGATCCTATCGAAGCACAACTCAATAATTATGAGATAAAAACGTCTGCCCAAGTACATTTTCACGATATAACAAAAATTTTAAAAAGCCAATTGCCCAATAAATTAGAAAAGCAAAAAATGAAGATGGAAGAGAAGCTGGCAATTTACAAAAAATCAGATAGTTTTGAATGCAACTTTGTCTTCAGTATTATGCACATACTTACACTAGATGAATTTACACTAGGCTTATTTACACTAGATGAAAGTCACAGTGAAAATTAATTTCTCAAACAAAAGAGTAGTGCGCAGTTTAAAAAATTGCGTGCGCGGAATTAATTTTTAGCTGTTCAGCCGGTTGAACGTTTGGTTGCTGAGCATCGAATTTTTGTTCGGACTATTTGAAAAATGCAGAGGAAATTTTTGTTCGGGTGTTTCAGTGTTTTTTTTCTTTTTGTTTTCCACGCAAAATCAGATACCAAAACTAATCATAGGACTGAATGGAGTTACATATCATAATAAAATCATTTCAGTCCTAATGCGAACGACATTATTAAGTTCCAAAATTTTTTTTTCAATAAATAGAAAAACTGGTTTGAAATTTTTGATTTTTGGTCTAACTTCTGGCTAATAAGGCCAAAGTGCAGGCTTACAATAGCTTATTTAAACTTCATTTAAGCCATGAAAACTTAAATTTAGTCTTCGAGTTTTTGCGCCGTTTTGGGAATTAAGAAAATTCGAACTTCAAAAAAAAATCTGCAAAAAAATGAAAAAATTGTGAAAATTTTCGAAATTTTTTTAATGATTTTTTCAAATTTTAATCTTTTTTCTTAAAAACTATTTTCTAATAGGCCTAATCGACTATGACTGTCAAATACGCCTGTTTTTTTTGGCTCAGATTTTTAATCGAACCACACAGAAAAAAAAACGAAATAAAATTGAAAAAATGAGGTGCTATTTGTTCATTAACCGGCTTGCTATCCTTTTTGTTTTTAAAATTCATTAGAAGAAACTTCTAAATTGCATAAACAGGAATTCATTTTGCAAGATTGTTTTTGATTAATACGTAAATAAAAAACACAAAATAATCAGAAACAGAGGAAGTTAAATAGAGACAAATTTCAATCATCAAGATTTTGGCTTCTACTAAAGATATTTATCGCATAAATTAAATTAGACAAACCTTGAACTATTAAACTAAATTGAATTTTGAAAAAAGTGATTTATTTGACACGGCTAAAACTTCAACTGACAATAAAGAAAACTGTTTGATCACATATCCCAGGAGAAGTTTTTGCCCTAAAGAGATAAGACGGATATAAACAGGTTTGACAAAAGTTCAAAGTTTCTCAGTATGTTTATTTTTTGAAGACAAGTTTTTGGAAATGAAATGTTTATTTTAAAGTTTTAGCATTATAAGGCACATATTTGAGATTTTTGAATTATTTAATTGTTTTGAGGCAATTACTTACGGATTTTGCCTGCAGTAATATAAATGTTCAGCGTAAGCTGCATATAAAAAATTGAATTTATGATAGAAATTTCAATAAATGTCAAAATCTTCCCATAAAAAAAGAAAATTTTGCAGATAGTCTTATTGAATATGTAAATGCTGGAAATTTTTGAAATTTTTTTGGTTCTTAAAGCAAACGAATCATATCGAGCAACTTTTTAAGTCTTTCAAGCAAAAATTGAAACAAACGCACGGTTTTTAGTATCAGACGCATGGCTTTTACTGGTCATGATTTTCGATGGCTAGAATGTCACATCATGTCGGGAAAAGCAACGAGTAAATAGAAATGGAAGATTTACAAAAAAAAACGAAAATAATACAGAACCTAATAAATATTTAGCTAATGACGCTAAAAACGCCAATTAAAAACGGATAGGTTTAAAATAAAATCATTTTTTTTTTTAAATTTTATGAAGTACATTTAATGCAGCTGTTATGTAATATGTTTTGAAAGTTTATAACAAATACCATTTTTAATTTCCATGTTTGTTTCAAAAATAAATTTAAAAAAATCAATTAATATAAAGTCATTTTTCACAATTTCTTGGAACCGAAATTGTATCAGTAGATTCAACCACAAAACAAATATCTGTTTTCGGGACAAATTTAGTTCACAAATGTTACGGCACAGGGTTGGACAAAGTCGAAGCTACAATATTCAAAAACAAAAAAACAAGCGACAAAACGACTAAAAAAGATTCAAAATGCACAAATGAGTAGAAAAATTTTATGAGAATAAAAAGTGTCGAAAATTCGAACCGCACACTTTCATTTGAGACACAAATGTCCTAACTACTCAAAATAATGGTCTATAAGCTTGTAGACAGATAATCGGATAAAAGAACAAAAGCTTATAATTTATAATGCTGAAAAAATAGCAACGCTTCCTAGTGTAATTCTAAAATTTTATTTTCTTAGAAGCCACATATTTTTGTTTTTACATTTAACTAGAGCTGAATTGTGATACTTGCTACTAATTGGATTCCAAACCAAACAAACATCGAGCATATAGTGAAAAAAGGAGTGGCTTATCTTGCAATAGCCCCAGGGGCTTATCTTGCAAAATTTTTGCTATCCTCATTTTTTGAAGTGAGTAGTAATGTTTCAGTGTTATGAACACAATCCCTATGCACGACTGAATAAGCTTGAAAGCATTTTTTGTAAGTTAAAAGGACGTTGTCATTATTGTAAGCTTATTGCACGTTGTCAAATAAAAAAGTAGTGCACAGTTTAAGAAATAGTGCGCAATTTTAAATCGGAATTAATTTTCAGCCTTTCAGCTGGTTAAACGCTTGGTTATTAAGCAGCAATTTTGTGTGCGGACCATTTGAAAAATGTGGCGACATTTTTTATTCGGGTGTTTTAGTGTTAATTCTTTTTTTGTTTCCCCACGCAAAATCAGATACCAAAACTAATCAAAGGAATGGATGAAGTTACATATCATAATACCTTGCAAATTTCGCTTATCTTACAAAATTTTTGCTTTTCTCATTTTTGAAGTGAGTAGCGGTGCTTCCGCTTCATGGCTACACTCCCTAGCACAAAAAAATAAGCATGAAAACAGTTTTTGTACGATATTGCACGTTGAAAGGATTTGAGAACGTCAAATGCTTTTAGGAACCACTAAAAAATTGAACCACACTAAACTAGTCATGAAACCAAATGTCTTCAAAACTAAAAAAAGTATCAAAAGATGGGTAAAATTGGCAGTTTTTGCAGCCTTCTTATTTGGCAAAAAATGATCACAAATAATTTACTCCTTTTTTGAGCGCCAGTCAACCAATTTTATTCAGAGTATCAAGTTGCACTAAAAAATCAAAAAATTTTTTGATCTTGCAAAATTTTTGCTATCCTCATTTTTTGAAGTGAGTAGTAATGTTTCAGTGTTATGAACACAATCCCTATGCACGACTGAATAAGCTTGAAAGCATTTTTTGTAAGTTAAAAGGACGTTGTCATTATTGTAAGCTTATTGCACGTTGTCAAATAAAAAAGTAGTGCACAGTTTAAGAAATAGTGCGCAATTTTAAATCGGAATTAATTTTCAGCCTTTCAGCTGGTTAAACGCTTGGTTATTAAGCAGCAATTTTGTGTGCGGACCATTTGAAAAATGTGGCGACATTTTTTATTCGGGTGTTTTAGTGTTAATTCTTTTTTTGTTTCCCCACGCAAAATCAGATACCAAAACTAATCAAAGGAATGGATGAAGTTACATATCATAATACCTTGCAAATTTCGCTTATCTTACAAAATTTTTGCTTTTCTCATTTTTGAAGTGAGTAGCGGTGCTTCCGCTTCATGGCTACACTCCCTAGCACAAAAAAATAAGCATGAAAACAGTTTTTGTACGATATTGCACGTTGAAAGGATTTGAGAACGTCAAATGCTTTTAGGAACCACTAAAAAATTGAACCACACTAAACTAGTCATGAAACCAAATGTCTTCAAAACTAAAAAAAGTATCAAAAGATGGGTAAAATTGGCAGTTTTTGCAGCCTTCTTATTTGGCAAAAAATGATCACAAATAATTTACTCCTTTTTTGAGCGCCAGTCAACCAATTTTATTCAGAGTATCAAGTTGCACTAAAAAATCAAAAAATTTCCAACAGGAAGTTGACTGTTCCAGCATCAGACTTTACCTTAAAAAATCAACTTTCCGTCATCAATTGTTCATATTTTAAGCTAAACCCATATTCAACTGAGAATGGAAATTTGAACAGGACATCCAAGTAAAATAGAAACATAAATGAATTCTTGTTTTAAAACAGGTTCTGGGATTTTTTTCATCATTGCCTTTGAACTTAACTGTCGCAGATCGGAAAAACTACGGAACTTTTGTTATGTACAATTGAGACTTTTCGTTGAGGTTTCGTTTATTTAGAGTAAAATATGTTCCTGAACATTAATTTGTATTAGAGAATCTGGTTAGATTTTTTTTTGTCAAAGTAGTCATAGCAATATAAATTGAAAATTATTTTTACAATTATAAAAAAAGCGGATTGTTTTATAACTAAAACTTTGGTTATGTAAATGTTTTTTTTTCAAGAGAGTTGCTTTGTTTGAAAATTTCTCTTTTTAGATAGATGGTGTGGTGAATTGATCAATGAGAGTTTAGAAGAAATAAAAATAATTTTGTCCACATGTATGTCATGTGTAATTTTAAAAACTGAACGACAATGTCATTCTAAGATGTAAAATAAGTTTGTCTAAAATTTCAATCAGACAAAAAACTATCTAGTTTTATTGCATTAGCTGCCGGAAAACAACGAATAATCTATAAAATTAAAAGAGATCAAATATTATCAGTAGTTTTGGTTTTTATTGGTCAAACACCAAGTGCTAGATTATGGGACGAAAAACAGCGGATAACACTGTAGACGAAGGCCAAAAATATGTTAATCTTAGCAGAATTTTCTGAACGTTTAGCACACGAAATAATAAAGATCATCCCGATCCGTTGTAAGCTTGCAAACAATTAAACGGATCGAAAAAATTAATTCTTTTAATTAAAAAGTTTTTTAAAATACCACTGCGCTTGCTAGTATAATTGACGATTTTAAATTTTTTGGAAGCAGTAAATTAAACAACTCGAAATTCAAAAAATTCTGTAGAAAAAAGTTAAGAATACTGAAATTTTTTCAATGCTTGTTATTTTTAGTATGAATATTTTTTGTAAAAAGGTATTCAAAAATAAAAATTTATTTCAATTTCTTGTCGTTTTAAGGACATATTTCACATATCTGAATAATTTAGTTGTTCTGGGGCAATTACTTATGAACTTTGCTATATTAATAAAGGTTTTACGGCCTAAACTGGATATCAAATGGACTTTATGAAAAACTTCGGTAGATTCCAACTTGCGCTTGAAAAAAATTGTACAAATTCCATCATATTGCTTATTTGCAGGCTGCATTTTTTGAAAATTACTTCTCTTAAAGCAAACGAATAAAATCGAGCAATTATAAATGAAAAACTTGAAAAAAGAAATTAGACACGGTTATTTACCGATCCTGGTTTATGATGGCTTCAATGTCCAAAAATGAAACGAGACACTCAAAAACGAAAGAGTCAGAATAAAACCAAAAGAGCTTAATAGTTTTATCACATGAAAAAACGGCAGTTTAAAAACGGGTGGGTTCAAATCAAATTCTTGTTCATGTATATAAACTACCATTATTACGTATTTTGTTCTGAAACTTTATAACAAATACCGTTTTCGTTTTAAAACTACTTTTTTTTAGCATAATATATGACGCCAATTTTCAGTCCTTTGGAACCTGTTTTGTTTCAGTCAATTCAGCACAACCAAATTTCGGTAATTTTAGGTCATGAAATTTACGGCACAGGGTTGGATACAATCGAAGCTACATTATTCAAAAAACGGCTAAAAAAGATTCAATTGCAAAATTGAGTAGGAAAATTTTTAGAGATTAAAAAGCTTGATCTCTAAAAATTCGAGCCGCAGACTCCGAAAATATTCAAAAAAAATTAGATCAAGCTTTTTAATCTCTAAAAATTTTCCCACTCAAATTTGCATTTGAATCTTTTTTGGCTGTTTTTTGAATAATGTAGCTTAAATGTCCTAACCGTAACCACTCAACAACATGATCTATAAGATTGTAGGCCAGTAATAGAATAGAAGAACAACAAATGCTTATAATTTAGTACGCTGAAAAAAGTTAAATATTCATTATTACGCTACGCTTTCTAGTGTAACTTAAAGTTCTTAAATTTTTTAGAAGCAACATTTTTTCTTTAAACAGCTCATTAGAGCTGAATGTTATAATAGTTACTTATCGGATTCCAAACCAAACAAACAATGGACAAATTCAGTGTGCAAAGCAGGTTCGACCAAGTGGGATAGAGAGTGGAAGTTCATAATGTTGCATAAATCATCAGGAATTGTTCAAAGACTTAATTTATTTACAAAAAAAATCTATTTCCCGATTACAAGACAAATGCTGTCGCACGTGTAAGGAACGCCTTAAAAGATAACTATTCTTGATCTCTGCAGAACGTACAAGCTTATTTTTTCAGAATAGGATTGTCTAAACTACTCGACCACATGCGCTGTAAGCTTGCAAATGATTACACGGATCGAAAAAATGAATGCTTTCACCTAAAAGTAGATCCTCAAAATAACACTGCGCTTGCTAGCGTAACTGTCGATTCTACAATTTTTTTTGGAGCAGCAAATTTTTTCGATGAACGTTTGAAAATGAACGATAAGCAAAATGAAGCAGCTAGCACGCTCCTCTCTCAGAAAAAAAACGTTCGTTAATTTTTAGTTAGTCTACTCTAAATACTTTAATAGAACGTGATAATTTATTAAAGTATCAAATTTTCTTGATATAGACATTTGAACATTTGGATACAGTGAATATTTTCGTATATTGAGTAGACTATCTAAAAACATCATCATTTTATTTCAAGCTATTATTTCTATCACTGCCAAGTGAAAAAAAAAGATTATTAGTCTGCAACATGTTTATATCAAGAAGTTTTTGACCAATTTAATCATCTTCACTTTCAGAGCTGGTAAGTTCTTGTTCTTCCTGCTGATTCATTCTGTTCATGTTCACAGTTTCGAACAGGTCAGACTGCTGCTGCTTGCTAGCTCCATCCTCGTCTTCTGATTGGCTGTCTTCGTCTGAAGATGGTGGTAGCGGAATGTCTGCACTCAAATACGACTGGTCAGTTTTGGAAGCTGGTTTCACAGCATTTTCGAATTTGGCTGGCCTGAAAAATTCGACAACTGTTATAAAATTATGTTTTCTAGAAAATGATTTTGAAGAACTAGTAGAGTTATCTAAATTATGTTACATCCACTATTCTCAAGTATTTTTTAGATTTATCAATAATACCTCCATAGGGCAGAAGCAGATCAATTTTAGTCCAATTTCACATTAAAATTCGAAAACCATTTTTTCTCATTTGTTTTTTTTTGCGTGCGTCGCAGCTACGGACAGCAACCGCAAAATAGACTGGGTCATCAAAATGTGTTAAATTACAAACTCTTAATTTACTCAGCTTTCAAATTATTTTATAAAAAAAAGCTCATATCTCCATAACCACTGGGTTTAAAATCTTGAAGGCACTAGTCTCTAGAATCTGGCAGCATTCAACTGCACATTAGAGTTATATCAGTCGCACCTAAACAGACGCATAATGAAAACGTACTTCCATAAACAGTTTAAACATTTTAGCATGTCAACATAAGAACAAAATGTGTCAAGTGAAACGCAAGTCACACGCAGAGCCGACCAGGAGCTTCGCGCCACTACAAATTTAGCAATGCAAGCTAGCACACAGAAAATAAATTGAAAGCCATTAAGTCAAAACCTGTTTTCGAGAAGTTCCGAAAAAAGCAAACACACAATTCCAAATGCTCGTCTTTAAGTCTAATTTGAGAAAATCACATTAAGAATTAAAATCGCCAGCGTTTAAATATTTCATCGATCGGCGAAAAAGCCGACAAAAATCGTTGTAAAAACTTGTCGAGTTATAAATTTCTGGTAGTCTAAAACTCAACGTCTCCGCCTATGAACAATACTGACTTGTTTTTTTTTCGCAAAACTTGAACTTTCGAACTCCAAAGAAAAAACATATGGCATGGGAGCTCTTAGAGAAAAAAATATCGCCACACTTTGTTGATAAATGATAAAAATAAGAACATTGAGAAAAAGGGATCAATCCGTAAGTTCTTCATTCCCTTGGAAAACCTGAAAATAATACCCACCTTCGAAACTAGAAATTGATCAGGTTTTTCGTTACTTTTACACTTTTGCTGCTCGATAGTGGAGTTTGCCTTCCTTTCAACAAAAGGAAACAAACAAAATTAAAAGGAAATCAAAAGTTAACCATGAAAAATTAAATTTTAGCGTGAAAAAGGATTTTCCTGAAAAAAATTCACCAATACCTTTATAGCAGTATTGACTATATCCATGAATCTTAATCCACAAAACTTACAACCATAGTGAACTGGCTCACAGCACAAGAAACATCTGTGACGTGGCACTGCAATTAAGCCGACAAAATAGACAGACAATAGGTCGACAATTTTTTTGAAACTGAAAACTTTCGGTTTAGAAAGTGGTAAAATTTTCGGTTTACAGCGTAGTTATTACTACTAGACTAAGGATGCCGGAGAAACCAAGGAAATTGAATTGACTATAAATCAGCCTATCAAATTAATCAACTGATTTGGTTATAGAAGTTGTTAACCCGAAACAAAGTCTTTATTCCGCTTGGCAAACGCTTGCTAGTAAAAAGCCTAATAATATAAGTCGATACATCGATAATTTTTTTATGAATTCTTCGATCAATTCACATTAGTATAGTTTTTGGCAAACATTATTAAAGCAATTCAACTTCGCAATACCCCGAGTTAATCACAGATCCGTTTCATATTCTAACATTACTAGTTTTTTTTAAAAAAATTCACGTTGCGTAAATCAATTTGCCAAATTTGATTTTCATAAAGGCTAATCCATCGATAAAAATTTGAAACTGTTAGATTGAAGCTATTCGCAAAAAGTTAGTCTATTGAGCAAGATATTCGAAGACCTTAAAATTAAACCTAAAAAAAAGCTTGAGTTGACTCGCAAAAGTTGGTTCTTTCAAGCATACAGCACAAGAAGAATGAAATGTTCATTTTAATTTCAAAGCAGTTGGAACTGATTCGCAAAATCAGTAATCAAATCCAGAGAAAAATTGAAAAAAGGAGAGTCTTGTTTTGCTTTGGTTTTTTAAGAAGCGTAAACCAAAATGCAGAAAAAATTGAAAACTGAGGTACTGGCTAGATATCAGTCGACGAAATTCAATCTAACAGTCTAAAATTAGAAAGATAGAAATTACTCGATAGCCACTTACACATTGCTCCTCATGTTCAAAACATTTCATTTCTTTAAAATTTCAAGAAGATTGAATTTGCGAGTTCTAATCATTCTTCATCGACAGAGAAACTATTCGTGACAGACAGTTCACCTCCAATTTTGCTTGAACGCTAAAAATCTGTGTGTAATAAAAAGGCCGTTTATTGAACGCTGAAAAATTAAAAGCTATTTCAAACAATTCATTTAATTTATGTTATTGACTTGCTTATACAATTGTTTAATTTCAGTCGAAATCAACAAATTGGATTCAGGTATGATATGGATATGGAGGGAGTCGAGGATGGGACAACCCAAAGACTGGTGAAACCTAACGGATGAGGACGAAAAGAAAACCAAATTTCTTCAGGACGAGGTAAAAAATTTACGTAGACTTGTTTTTGAAATGAATGACCCATTGAGAGAGCATGGAAAGTAGATCCAAAATGATAGAGAACTAATCTTGAACCCACCTTTTGATGCTCGAGACGAAATGCTTTTGGACCGAAATATAGTGAAAGTTATTGTCCAGTTTTTGAAAACCGAATTGTATTAATATTGTAGGTTTAAAAGCATTCCAGATTTTAACAAGAAGAGGGCCTCTTCCATGTGGATTGATGCCTATCTTGATAACAAAACTTATATATTTCAAACACAAAAATTTAGTGTACGGTAGGAAAAACTGCAAGATAAAAAACCAATGAATGGACGCCAAATGTATATCAAAGAGCTTATGTACATCATCTACTACATATATAATTAAATGTTTATCATCCAACAAAAGCAGCAAAATTAAAGCAAGAGGCTAATAGTACGGGATATGTAACGTCTACTAGAAACTGCAATATAAGTGCAAAAATAGAGATGTGAGAAGTGTTCGTTCCAGTCAAATACCAAACTGAAAACGAAAAGCTAGATAACCCGATAAAAAACAATTTTCGCGTTGAGGGAGCAAACGATAACGGCAGAGCGGAAAAAAACTGAGATGCGAAACCTCCTAGATACAAAAGAGCAAAAATAGGTCTATGAGTTGAAGAAAAAAGGAACCAAAAAAGGCAAACTGATAAACAGTCAAATTGATCTGTTAAAAGTTGTCGGATTAAAAAAATTTCGAGTTAATTATTTGAATAGATGAACTGAGCGCTTTTGTTTCTCCAGTTTTGGCACGAGAAAATGCCCCAATATTAAAAACAAATACTTTTAATTTCAGAAATTAAAATCACACGTGAATTGTTTTTTATCACATGTGGTTACGAAAATTATCATGACATTGATTGTTTTTATATTCTGATCGCGTTTTTTTGGGTACTGAGTGTTGATATTTACCATGCCTTTAACTCCAAAGAAGTCATTTATCCACTTTTTGAAACTAAACTTTATGAAAATTATTATGATTACGATTGTTAAACTATTCTAATTGCCTTTTTTGGACTGAAGATTGGGACTGAAGATTGAAATCTTTCCCTGAAATTCCAGAGAGATTTTGGCTTTTGAAAGATAGGATTCTCACTTATGACTGGTATTGTTATTTTTGATGCAGAGGGTTGAAAGTTTCATAGCCCTAGGCGATAATAGAGCTTCAGAGAATACAAAAAAACCAAGATATTGATCGTAACTGGAAAAATCAAAGAGAGGGAGAGAGAGAAAAATTACAAGGAATCCGTCTGAAAATTTGCCGGACAAATTATCGAATTAGAACTTTCGAGCAAGCAACTTCTTCAGTTGGTCTGAGAAATCATGCAATACCAAAAAGAGATTTTCCTCGCTTAACCAGGTTTATATATAACAAGACATACTCCGAGTAACAACTTTTCTCTATTGGTAAAAAAAGTGGTCCTAGATAAAACACCAGTATCTGAAAAACCTAAGCTCAGAGATTAAAAGATCAATTAAATATACGAATTTGGTAGGTGTATTAGAACGAAAGACACTAAATTGTTCCAAGAATATGGAAAACCAACCAGGGATTTGTTTACAGAATTTGAGAATTATCACAAAATTTTCCATATTTAGAACTATAGCTCGGAAATGGAGCACAACGTGATTCTTAATCGCTTTCCGAAAAAGTCTGAAAAACTCAACCAAAAAATTTTTAAATTAGAAAAGTATCAATATTTATTTACATACAATATAGAAAAGAAGGGGCGGGAGTTAAAAAGGGATTAAAAACAACATGGTCAGAAAAACGGAAATTGATCAATATCAGATAATGACCATAAGACAAATATAATAAAAATTCGAGAAAAGGGGAAATTTGGACATTTTTGTACAGGAACTCAAACTGCAAAAAAAATAAATTCTTTGAAAATTACTAACCTTGAAAAATTATTTGAAATTATTTAGCTACGTATTTATAAGCCTTAAAACTTGAAACAACTGGCAAAAATTTGATTTGCAGAGCTTTCATCGTATTGCGCAAAAATGATAAAGCAAAAAGAATTTATCCGGATACTACAAAATTTTGAATGTTGTATCCCGGGAGCCTATAATTACTAAATACTTGTGAATTAAAAAACTCCGCTTCATATATTGATGAAGTTTTCACAAGCACTCAAATAACAGCATCAGATTACAAATCTGAAATAGTAACAGATTTATTGAATACAGAAATCAACTTTTATAAAAACTGGAAAATTCTAAATCAAACGGACAAAAAAATTAAATTTGCTATTTTGGCTGCAAAATGAATTGCAGACAAATGAAAATATCTCGAACATTTGAAAAAAAAAATCAATCGTTTTTATGCATGAACGGGGTTATCGAAAAGCTGATAAAATGATGCACTGATAGCATTTTTTTTGTAAAAATGATTATAAAGGATAAATCAGGATACTAAGAAAGAACGTATTACGAAAAAAATGTCCTTAACACTGAAAAATTCACCAAATGATAGTTTGGCGAGCTTATAGAAGCAACGAAAAGAAGCCAATTCCTTAAATGTATCACAAAAAGTAGCTCCAATTTTGTAGGGAGAATGTAGTGCTGTCGCAAACAATTACCAGCGAAGCGTTCAAAACAATTTCAAATCAAATCTTAAAAACAAATTCTCGTAAAAAATTTTGGCATTATTTATCATTTATTTAAATCCAAGAGCTCTGCACTTCATCGTTTTTGACGCTGTTAATCATTAGGGCCATTTCAGAAAACGCTTTCAAGTTTGTCCTAAAACTGCTACAGTAAATCCATTGTGCCAAAGAAGGAGTCAAAAACTGATTGCTTCAACTTACCAATTTTTTAAGGAACGTTTTCGAAAAACTTAATCAAAAAAATTGATTGTTTTCCTGGAAAAGAACAAAATTTTGTTAGAAACGCAAAACGTTTATCTGAAAAAATTAGGAAAGGCATTCAAATATTTGGTTCGTGGAAAAAAATGAAAAAAGCCGACACTTGTTGAGTTATTGAAAGCAGAGTGTCTTCGTTGACTCAACGAAAGCGTTTGACATAATTTCACGACAGTTGATGTTAACAAAAAGTTTTAAGCATGGACTAAGCGGACCAATGCAATATTTATTTAAATCAAACTTTGAATTTGGTGAAAGACGGCAAACTGTTTTTTTTTGTGCAACAAGCAATCAAATCTTAAAACTTCAAAATTTTAAGGGGAGAGAGCCACAAGGTTCTTTCCCCGGCCATATACTTCTTTAATCTATATAAACGATATTTCTGATCAAATCAAATACTCGCAAACAAATTTGATAGACGATGACACTGTCAGAACAGGAAACATTGGAAAAGAACCACACTCAAATTTCAGTCTCGATTTAATAAGGTTATATAATTAGTTCACTACTATTAAACAGACGAGAAATAGCGCTAAGACAAAAATTGTTATTTTGGTACGAACAAAAATACAACTAGCATCGCCAATTTTGAAAAAAAAAATCGGATCAAAATGTTCGCATACCTTTATTCGTTTGGTTATTGGATGCAATTTAAAGTTCAAAGAGCATATACATCTTACAAAAAAAAATTACCGAAAGCAGCTGCAATTCTTTATACACAAGGGAAATAATTAATAAGAAAACAACTACTTGAAATTTACAGCACATCTTGGGCCTGTATTCGAATATGGATTACTTATATACGACAGTACCACCAAAACTATTACTGAGAAAAATGACTAAGAAAAATACCAACGCTGTCTGTGAAGATGATGCTTAAGTCTTAGAAAATTTGACAGTGTGTATGAGGCACGATGTGAGCGGATATTACTATCAATAGAAGAGATTTATCTAAAACAGCTGATTAGCCTTCTGGCAGAAATATTAAGAGATGACTCACATAATTAAGATTCGAAGTCAGCAATAACCAAAACTGAATTAGTAAAGCCTCTTGAGAAAACAGAATAAGCGGTCCTCAAATCAGAAAATACAAAAACAGAAGAATCGTTGAAAGGCCTGAAACACAATAAGAGTGTTGTGTAATGCAATTATTAAATTTGATGAAAACATAATTCAAACTCTGGTTGATTAAAATGAGAAACAGCTCTAAGTAAATCTTAAAAATCTCCAGGCTAAAATCAAGTTTGATTGATTTGAAAACCTATTTTGTTAGATACGGGAATTCTAATGCGTACTTTTCAGGTTAATATTAGAAATGCAGCTTATTTGTTGGTAGCAAACTTTTTTTTTTCAGCGGAAAAAAAATTGTGTTGCTTGCTTGTCAATTTTGTCGATACTATCATGGTTAGCACATTGTCTGGTGTAATCAAATGATGATTTTTTACTTTTTATTTTATGTCTGTCTATAATGTTTGATTCTCTTGCGTATCTTTTCTTTATGTATCGTTTTGATAACTGAAAATTATTGCTCTTTAAGTGTATCAGAAACAGGTCGCAAAACCTAATAATCTCCTACCATTTGTTTCAAATTATGTAAACAAGTTTAAACTACTGTTGTTTTCCCCAATTCAAGTGGGAATTTACCATTAAAAACTTATATCTACGGATCTGTTTGACAACTCACCACAGTTTGCGTTCGTGCAGATGTCTGATGTGATCCTCCAACAGACACACACAAATCTCTCCTCTCACTTTTGTGCCCTCGTCAATCGGGTCACAGATCACGTAGTTGTCTAAACAATGTTAATAAACATGTCCCACAACACTACTACCACACAACTTCCCCCAATTTTCACATTGATGACAGAAATTATCCGTCCAACTTAAACTAAAAAAAACCTGTTTTCGAGTTAATACTAAATGTAAGATGGACGGATAATTTCTGTGATCAGGTATTAGCTCGAGAACAGATTTTGAAATCACATACTGTGACTATTTCATTTTTGATCCTGACTCACCCCGCTTGATCCAGATGGTCTTTCTGAACTTCAGAGGCATGGACACCAGAATGTTCTCGTCCCTATCCCCATATTCCGGCACCACTTCATGCAGGTTGTTGCCACGCGCCGCAATCACCTGGAAACATCACATGGATTAGATACATCAGTTTCCTTTCAAGGTGGTTCGATCAGGCGTATCAGACGAATCTCAAGGAACCATGCAATGATTGAACAATTTTAAAAATTCAAGATTAACTGTTATTGATTAATTTTTTTTGGCAGAATCAAACTTTTCAAATACGAGTTCTGAAGTTCGGCCAAGTAGATTTCTGACCTCCCACTGATGAGTGAACTCCTACTGATGAGTGACTGACCTTTGCGATGAACTGTCCATTGGTGGGGATGTGGTCGGACTCTATTGCTTCTCTAGTGACATGTTTCTTCTTTGTAGTCTTCGAGGACATGTCTCCATAATCATACAACACTCTCAAAACATTGGATTCTTTCAATGGGATCAGAATTAAAGCAATATCAACATTCGCTTTCTGTTCCAAAAAACTCAAACCATCAGGAAACCACAATTGCCATTTAGAGTAGACTTATGTATATAAAACACTTAAAAACATAAAAACTAAAACTTGTATTGATCACTTTTGGCCCAAATAACTGGAAAATTATCGATTTGTTCTTGAGAATATTCCGACAGTTTCCGCGGCACCTTCTTCCTTGGCAGCATAAAATTAACATTCCTCAAAATATTATCTGGGATATTTTTATCTTTAAAACAATGCAATCTAGTTAGCCAGGCGTCCCTGAAGTCGATTCTTTTTGTTTCCAAATACAGTCTGGTGGTGCGTCTCACTATTTGTCCAGGGTTGTCGCGTAGAAACTCCCATGCGAATGTGATGACTTTGTCGCCTGGCCGGGTCGTCTTCTGGTCAGTGAAGCGGTGGAACTCCCACTCGAACTCGGACATTGCAAGCTAACACAAACCCACAAATAGTTTTAAATAGAGGCGCTACACAATACACACAGAAGCGAAGCAGCACTTCGCAAACAGAAGCAAAAAATGGCGAAAATAGGAAAACATCTACCGGAACATGCCGGGGATACGAGGACGTGAAAGTCGTAATCCCTAGTGATTATGAATTTCACGTCCTCGTATCTCCGGCATGTTCTCTTGAAAATGTTCTAACCTAGCGACCAATGAAGCAGCTACAGTTGCTATAAAATTGCCAATGCTTTGCAGCAGAAGCGTCGCAAAACAAAATTCAACCTATCTCTACACTCTACCCCCCGGATTACCTCTTCCTACCTCGAGATTAGGAGTGCCACGTGCTACCATCTCCGCCATGGTCACTTGAAATTAATCTACCACTAGCCAGTAAAAAGCAGCTACAGCTGCTATTTAATTGCCAATGCTCGAAAAAATACCAAGAGCTACCAAACAAGCTAACTCACACGCTCGCTAATGTAAAAATGTAAATTTCATGCAGCTCATTATAAAATTCAACAAAGAAGTTTTATCACCCGAAAAAACTGCGAAAAAGCTATGTTATACACTAATCCCTAGCTTCAGAAATTAGTCAATGCTAAGATGATTTTTGCAGATGCTAAAAAATGATGTAGCATCCCGCTCCAGTACTAAAACATCCCTCTTTATGACGCTAGTCAATCTGGATCAAAGTACAGGTATAAAATTGCCCACCTGTGAACAGTTCATGACGACCACATGATCGCCGCAGTCTTGTTTCCAGGCGAATAGTGGCTTGTGTCTGCCCTGTAGAATAGTGGAGCATTTCTGGGCTAGATGGACAGGGTGGTGCCAGGAGGCGTCTATGAGGTACCAATTACGTGCAAAGGAGGCAGCCAGAGCAGAGCCCCTGGACAAACCAGAGCCTGGCGTAGGCATCACAGATCTAGAAAATACATGATTTGGTTTTGCAGAAAATATACAACCCCTGCAACAAACTGCTTTGATATCAAAGGTTCGAAGGCGACAACGTTTGAAATTGCAAAGTTTTGATATCAGACTCAAATTTCTTTAGATTTTGACTTTTTTTTACAGGAGATCAAAACTTGAGATCCTCCCATAAGCAACCATTTTGAAATGCTGCTTAAATTAAACTCAGCATAAACTGTTCTATAAAAAAGAACCAAAAGAACTGAATACCTATCTCCTCTTGGCTAATTTCACTGCCACTTAACAAGATAATTCTCGGGATAAAAAGGAAAAGTTTGAAAATTCAACTGAATCCAGCACGCAAATGGAAAGCAAAAGCATACAAATATATCCATCCATCAAATTACACTGAGAGCATAGCATTCATATCTTATTAGCAGTTCAGTTCGCCAGTAGGTCGCTCATTTGCTTCTGAAATACCTCCCATCCATATGAATCTAAGTAGGCAGACGAACTTAAACTTTTGCCGATATTCAATTTGTATCAAAAAGACCTCCAAAAATGATAAAAAGAGGCAATGTCAAGTACGCCTGCATTAACTTCGTCATACCACTTAATTTCTCCATAATATTATTAATTAATTCACTCCGTCAATTTCTCTTTTCACTCTTTTTCGTTTTCTTCTGGAATAGTTTCTTCCTCAGAATCGTCCTCGTCGTCGGAGAACGTATTCATGGGGATCTTGTACAGCCTAATCGTAGTCTTATTCGGATCCTTTAACAACAGATACTTGCCCGCCTCCTCTGGCTGTCTATTAATAGCATCTATTATAGCTCTCAGAATACCCCAACAGTTGTCGAAGTTCAAATTGATACTCGTGGCCAAGTTACTTGGCTCGAACGACTGCACTTTCAGGATCTCGTGAGTTTTCGAATCTCGTGGGTTGACCCGCGACACGAATCCCAGTTTGATGAAATCAGATCCCGAAAGATACGCCTGAAGACACCACTTTCCAATTTTAAAACTGTTATTTTTCAGCTCAGTTGCGATTATCGCTCCACTTTGCTGGTCCAGCTTTTGGTGCCATTCGCTTCTATGTTCCACTTCGTTCAAAGCTTTGATTGTCAGGAAGTGTGTCTTATCATCGGGACCCTTACTAACAGCATCATGCTCGCATCTGCATACAAGTTTAATGTCATTGCCAAGGTCCCACATTTTATACTTATACCCGATAGGTGCCAGAGGATCCTGCGGCTCATCGTCGTCATCCTCGTCTTCGAAGGGATTCGGCTCTTTGAATTTATGAGCATCGCCTTCCTTCTTCAGAACTTGTTGGGTAAAACAGTAATTGACATGAGTGCTTTCGTCCGAGTAAACTTTCAACTCATTCGGATCAGTCGAGAGCGGCTCGTGAGCTGTCTCGTTCACAGTCAGACAGTCGAATGACAGACTGTCCTCTCGCTTGTCCAAAAATATCTTCCCTTTCAACTTTGTGGCCACTATATCCCACGAGTAGACGGACCTTGTGCAACACATAAGCGTGGCTAATATGATGTCAGTGGCGAACACGTTTCCCTGTTTGGCGGCCAGTCTTCTGATCACTGGATCCGATGTAGTCGTGACAGTCGGGATCCTTCGGTTGATAGCTGTCAAGTATCGCTCGCTCTTTGTGTTCACTCTGTCGAACTTCTGGTCATAATACTCCAGTGTTCCAGCTGTCACAAGCTCCACAGGTTTGTTCACATCCGGAAGCTTCAGTTTAGTCAGACGTGGGAAATCGTAGTAATCAATCTCGTCCCAGTCTTGTTTAACATCCACCGAAGCTTTCCTAGAAACTTGATTGCGGTTATTATTGTTCCAATTTCGGTTCCTGTTGCCCCTGATTTTGCCTCTCTGCCAGCCTCTGCTGCTTTGCTGGTTGCCACTGTTGCCCCTCCAGGCGTTCGAGTTGCCCTGGTTCTGACTCCCCCTGTTGGGCATAGACGCTCCCCTGCCCCTTCCTCTCTGCATGGGATTGTATCTACCTCGTCCGATTCCTCTGAAGAATGGCCTGATAAAACATATTCCCTCATAAAAAAATTACAACTTGCCTAAGTTTCTAAAATTTGATTGATTATCTATGAAAAAAATATATTTAGCCATCAGACAAAAAAATCTGATTAGGTTACAAAAAAAGCTTTTCATTAAATCAAATCAATAAAAAAATTGGTTCCAAATGTACTATTTTGCTAATAAACCATTAAGTGAAAAATATCTAGAGTAAATTGTTGCACTCTCTTTATGCTTCAATCTCGGAGAGCAACATTTAAGATCCACGCATAAAAATTACTTCGATATCGAGTTTTAAAAACAAACTTGTAAAATAAACACGGACTTAAACGACCTTCGCTGATACAAGCAACAAAAACGGCAAAAAGGAGCGTTAAAAATCAACAATACGAAAATAAACCAGAATGGAAAAGCCTGCAAAAAAACTTTCGACAATGGGTGATCGAGCTTACTATCTGCTGCCAATAGTACAATAGATCATTCAGCCACTGAGACCTGATGAACATTAGCCTTTACCAGGCAGCACTGAAAACGATTTGTTTAAGCGGACAAAACACATGCTACGAAAACGTCCTTTTCAAATATCGCTCGCTCTTGTGTTCACTCTTTCTAACTTCTTTTCACAATAATCCACAAAATACACATATTAGCAAAATAGCCCTATAAAGAACCAAATCCATTGTTAAGCATATGCGGATTTTGTGCCTAGTGAATTCAAGTTTTTTTCGAAAATGGATAGATAATCTGGGTTGATTTGTTAACAAATGGCGTCACTGTTAACAAATAAAAACAAGACTACTCGTATCAGGGCAAAGCCCTGAAAGTTCTGACTGCCTTTTAACGTTTATGGAGCAGTAATAACATAAACAACATAAAAAAATTGAATGAAATAAAATAAAATGAAAAACATTTCTAAAATTTGAAAATTTTTCTTTGAAAATCATCCCCCCACTTGCCATATAAAGTACAAAACAATAGATTCCGCTCCTTGTAACAAATCAATTATGGCAAATAAAGCTTCTTTTAACCAATTTGGGACGATTTCTAAGACGGATTAAATCTCCGCTTACGCGTTAATAGCGCGAATTATATCGCGCGTTAATTGTCCCAAATTGGTCAAAATGGCAATCTTTAAACCCTCATAACTTTACGAAAATTGATCACAGGTGAAATAGCTTTTCAAATTTGAGCTCAAGACAACAATAGCTTTCGAATGATATGAAAAAATTCCGTCAAAAATGCCTGTTAAAAAGTCGAAATTTGTCTGAAGAAAAAAAAACCACCCCGAGCACAAATATTCCGTTACTTTCGTATCGAAAGTCGGAACAAAAAGGGTAATTGAGAGCAAAATAATGAAATTTAACACAATGAACATGCAATTCGCAAACACAAAAATAACAAGGATAGCCGGTTACTGTGCAAATAGCATAGCATGTTCCTGCCATAGTCTTGAAAATAGTCATTTTTTTTTTCAAATTAGTATCATTTTTTCTGTTAGTATCAAATAAAATCGTTAAAAAAATTGAAGAAATTTTCTATTGAATCTCAAAATGGCGCTAAAAAAGCTCAAAAACTAACTTTACTCGAGGAAAGCAAAGTTTTTGCGGCTTAAATAAGCTATAAGTCTGCTTACTTTGACAAACCTTAATAGCTCAAAATTAAAATGAAAATTTTCAAACCGGTTTTTCTCGACACTGAGAAATTTTTTTCTTTTTTTTAACGTCGTTCGCATCACGACTGAAAGGGCTTTAATATGATATTTAACTCGACCCATTCCAATTATTATTTGTGGTACCTGATAATGCGTGCAAAACAAAGAAAAAACTAAAACAAACCCGAACACAAAAATCCTTCACATTTTTCAAATGGTCGGAACAAAAACAGCAAATAATCACTCAAAAAAGCTTGAATCCCAGATTTGAAGATGTCTTTTGAATATCTTTTGGTTTGAAAAAATTGAACACAATTTCCATAATATTGATTTTCAGGAAACTTCATACAGCCCGTATTGTGCTATGCTACAATTTTATGCACACGGGGACAGGATTCACTCGTTGATCTCATGATTTCCAGGCCTTTGTTCTACCCTGTGTGTCTAAAACGATCAAAAAGGGCGGAACAAAATGAACTTGTTTGAAACGATATAGCTTATACAGTATACAACACTGAAATAGTAACTGAGCACGGAAATAACACAGCACATGCCACACCACTAGCCGAGCTTTTTAAAAAATTCAGATGTCGTTAAACTTTTCGAATTTTCAAATAACACTTTTTTCCATGGTCTCCCATATTTTTTCCCATAATTTTATTCAGGGGCTGATCTAAGATTTTCTCGAGGGGAGGGAGGGCGGATTTTCAAGAAAATTTTGAAAATTTTGTCGACCTTTTTTTTTAGGTCGACCAAATTGATTTCCCGAGCTTTTGCCAAAGCACTAAAAGACCCTGTTTTAGACAAATTTTCTGCGCCGCAGGCAAAAACTTTGAAAAACAGGCCAAAAAAGGCGTTTTTAGGCACTTTTTCTAAAAATTTTGACCAAAAAATGGCGTTTTTTCGGCGCGTGCTCCCCTGGATATCTCAAAATAGTACAAAGGGGGCCCTAAATCTGCCCCTGAGTTTATTTCCGACTCTGTTGTCATCAAATTTAAATTAGGAATCAAACAAAAAATCAATTGAGGTTTGAAAGGATAACATAAATGAATTACTTCGATGATCATCAGGTAACTAAAGTGGTAGTTGTTGTACCTGCTGGGCTTGATGGTGTCGACGATCTGGAAGTGGTCGTCGTGTTCGTGGTAGTAGGCATACTGTCCCGCCCCACTGGTGGAGAACTGGGAGGTGTACTTGTTGTTGTACTTCTTGTCATTGTACAGCTGGTTCCCACTCAGAGTCCAGTCAGACACTTTGCCCAGTCGGTCGCTCTTGCTGAATGGCTGGTAGGGCATGTCCTTGAACTTCTCCGGAACTGCACATGGTCCCCACCCATTCGGGTTGTCCGTGATCTTCGGCAACGCAAAGTCCGCCATAACTTTCAATTCACTCCTATCGATGGTCGCGCTAGATCGATATTTGAACAGCAAATTTATCTGAAAGTCAACTAAACATTACAGAATTTGTCAATTCTTTTCCAATCTTAACTATGCGCATGCCATAGCTTCCATATCTTTTGAAACTTCGAATGGTGTGCAGAAAAAATGATATCTTTAATAGCCTAGATGTGTCAAACAAATCAAAGACTTTTGCCGAATCGTATTGCAAAAAGAACGAAGCCACTCTATCAACCAAACAAAGCTGAAATGACTACTGTATTTGCTCAGCTAGACAGATCACTTTACCCGCGACTGATATTCTCATTTCCCGTTCAACAAATAGAGAACAGTCGTCTCAATCAATTCCACTATTTAAAGCTCATTTTCCCTTTTTGTCCACTTGGAAACCAAAACTAATCAGCATAAATGACGCTTTGATGGGTCCATTTAACCCACTGATGATAATTCGCTCGAAGCAGCGAGTCACTTAATATAGATGGATTTTATATGTAGAGTATTCAGTAAAAACTATTGAAAGAGGGATGGGGGAGTTGGAGAGATTGGAGGAATAATTAGTTTCCGGAGAGGGGAAATGCAATCCATCGTGGGTTTGAATAGGTAGTCCATCTAGCTGCAGTACACTTCCGACCTGTTATTGTAGCTCCATGGGAGCCACGAGACCAAAAAGAGCACCCCCTGCCCTGCCTCTGACCCTGGCACTCGGCAAATAGGAATGTATCCATCACTCAAAGACCAAAAAAACTTAAGCATTTACCAATCTAATATAAATGCCAATATAAAATAATGTCCAATCAGCAAAAATAAAAATGCGAAAAAAGAATATACTTAATCAGACAACAATTGAGTTCATGTGCTAGCAATTGATAGTTCCGAGCCCTCTCAAAATAACACTTCTGTGCCCATGGTAGTTTCGTGCGATACTGGTAATACGTCCAAAAGATCTCGGTTTTTTAAGTTTTGGAAGAATTGACCAAAAATGTTCTAGAAACGCAGTCAATCTCAGCCAAAAAAATCTCGAAAAAAATTCCCAAATGGGACATTCTTTGGGTGATTGAGGGTTCAACTCGCCTTTCTCTTTCCACTAGCAATCCTTCTTCATGACATTCAGGATCAAATCAATTATTAGGTGTTATATAGGAGATCAGGACATTCACCACCAAAAATGATTCAATAAGCCAAAACTTATAATAAACAAGGATAGACGGTAACTGTGCAAATAGCACAATGTTCCGACCATAGTCTTAAGAAACACAACATTTTTTTCAAATTAGAGTCGTTTGTTTTTGCGTGGTGTGATAGTAAGATCTGAATGAAAAAAAAAATAGAAAATAAACATATTCGATAGTCATGTCGAATAAGCTAATTGGAAAACAACTTCTGTAGAAAAATGACGAGAAAGAAACACAAAAAAAATCGTAAAATTTTATTCTTTTTGCAGAATTTTTTTCAATGTTTGATTCCTAAAATGGCGCAAAAATTTCAAAAACTAACTTTACTCGAGGAAAACTAAGGTTTCACGGCTTAAATTAGGCTCAAATAAGCTATTGTTAGCTGCAAACCTTATTTTGACAATCTTATTAGCTCGAAATTAGACCAAAAATCAAAAATTCAAACCGGTTTTTCTCGACACTGAGAAAAAATTTTCACATCTTTCAACTCTCGTTCGAATCACGACTGAAAGGGGGGCTTTAGTATGATATACAACTCGACGTTTTCCGATGACTATTTGTGGTTCCTTATTTATGGGGAAAACAAAAAAACTAAAACCTTCCCGAATACTAAGTTCCTCCACATTTTTCAAATGGTCGGAACAAAAAACAAATTCTAATGACGATCTAATGATGATTTATGTGACACAAAAGAAGCCCGGATGTTACTGGTTAAAAACATTTTATTACTATAACTATAATTATTATTTTATGTTGGATTGCGAACTAGATTGGATGTTTCAAGCCAAAAGTCAAGATTTTAAATTAACAAATACTCAACGTTTGCATACGAGTTATGAACAAAAAATCGGGATAAAAAGACTTGGTTTTTGGTGCAAGCGATGCAGACTGGAAGGGTAAGGTAGTTAATTGGAACATCGGAAGATCCAAATTGGTCTTGGGAATCTTCACAAGTGCGATGTAAAGCGAGGTGCATTTTCACACATTCAAGTTCAACAGTCAATTAGCTTATCAACCTCCATCTCCTAACTACTATTGTCAAAATAAAAGCATCCACGCGATCAGTGTGGGCCAACAATGGACAAATCAAGCGGCGAGCGCCGTGGGAGAAAAAAGGCCAGTTAAAGTATGTTCAATTAGCCAAATTATCCACCTATTCACTGGACAAATAAAAGCCTAACCGCTGAATAAACTGCCCAAAGATCGCCAATCTAACCTTATCAGCCTCAGCTATATCGCACGCAAATATCACAGACTGGGATAAGCGGAACAGGTAAACTCACTGCTGATTGGACCATAGTTCAGCCAATCAGATGGAGAGAAGAGGAGAGGGATGGAGGTTAAAACTGTGAAAAAAGTGTGACGGGTCAGTTATTGATTAAGTTGATTTGAACTATTGCCCAACAGTAGTAGTATTAGTAGTAGTATTTCTTGGCACTAAATCTCTCTTTTTTCAGTGTATCAATCTCAACACAGTCAGTCAGTCAGTCAGTCAGTGAATTGGACTATTTTTAAGGAAGGTTTAATCTCCTGTTCGGAAATCCTTCGTTTTGTTAGTTTTAACCCCTGTCTACACTAGCAGTTCCGAGTCTGTTTCCCACATGAATTCCGCCGCTCCTTCCGAACATTTATTCGAAACGACATTCATTCCCCCTCCTCACCCAACACTGAACTCTAACTCCCACCCACACCAGCAACAACACCACCAACAAGCCCTACAGCATCAACAGTCCCTATTGCCAGCACAAGGCCAGAACGGAAACAGGAACTTGGCCACCTCCGCCGCGACCGCACAACCAACACCACCTGAATTCGAGGTCACTCAAAATCCCCAGTTGCAACTGCCCCCCAACAGTTCCTGTAGTATATCGCCACCACAACAACAACACACTATACCACCACGACCTCATATTACACTACCCATATCGACCAGTAATTTCCATCTCAGCAACAACAACAATAACAATGTCGCCCGCGATATCACACCGCCCGCGACATCAGCTGCAATTCTTCATCATACCGAAAACAACTTCACCCAGCTGACCTCCCGCGACGAAGCACAAAGAGGTCAAATAGCACCGCTGACACTGCCCCCAATTTTGACGCGACAGACCCACAATTCTGGCATTTCTTCCGGATTCCCTACTCTGAATTTCCCCCTCGCTTTCCCTCAGGGACTGGAATTTCGGCACTCGGCATCTCCCTTAGACTCGAATCAAAACGGTTCTTATTTTGCCCAATACTCGTCGGGAGTTGCCACTTCGATCGCGACATCTTCAAGTGCGAATAATTCAGTTCAAAATTCAGAGATCAGCAGCAAGTTTGAACACACGGAGGGATTGTCTTTCACAGATTTGCATCAGATAAACCTTCAAAATTTAACTAACAGTTAGTACCTGTTTAATAAATTCGTCCGCAAATATTGAAAACTGGTAAGTAAGTCATACAAATTGCTAAATGTATGTTTCCTTTTCAGAGAATTCGAACCCTTTGAATCGATCATGTTCGAGGAAGAGATCCCACGGACAGACAGTTTCACAAGAGCAGGATCATTCAGCAGTCACTTTGAGCAGCCTGAGCAGACAAGAAGGAGTGAAGCAGGTAACTCCCCCCATGAACAGTCCCCCTACAGCAGCAGCAGCAGCTGTAGATGGGAACACATACATGGACGCATCCCAGATGGGCCACTACAGCTTGAACGACTTCATCAACTCCGGTAACAATTTGAAAAACTTCAGTTTCTCTAGTTATGATATATCCGACAAATTTAATTCATTGTTAGCTTAAAATCAACTTTACCTGTTGCCTTGTGCCTCGTTTCATAGTCAAATGAAACCCTCCAAGGAAAAATATAGTATTGATTTTTAGTATTAGTGCTTTTAAAATGTACCCTATTTCGTTCATAATTATGTTAACCATCAAGAATCTTCAATTAATCGGGAATAACACCGCCAGGAATAAGACATCACAAGGAATAAAAGTTAAAAAATTTTCCAAACACCGTTCAATACTAGCCCTCGTCTTTTTCAGCATCGGGAGCTCACAACGGCCTCTACCCTCCTCTTGTGCCCTGCAATCCTTCTCAGACATTGGAACTCAAATTAGGCTCCCCTCCCCCCTCCTCAAACCACTTTGCCCCCCACTTCACAACCAACAACACACCCCCAGAGAAAATATCTTCCTCTGGTGCTCCCATTATGAGTGAGGAAGAGAAGGCCTCCTCTTTCCTTCATAACTCCTTCGTGCCACAGTCTGGCTACTCAGTTCCCATCCCGGGTGGATTCGACAGTGAGTCCATGACCAACTGGATCCAGAACACCATATCCCAGACACACTTGCACCAACAACAAGTGTCTGCTGTGAAAAACGCAGCTGCAGTTGCAGGTACATTCCAAACAATACTATTCATTTGAGCCCGAAAGCTTGTCATATAATTTTCAGGAGGAAAACTTTCAATGTCTGGCGACAAAATTAATGAATAACTCTATTTTGGCCACTAAATTACAATTTTTTTTACTCTTAACGTGAATCTGGTTCCTGCTTCACCAGTGAAAGCTATATTTTGATTTTTCACACAGCATGACCTGTTATAGTAAACGCCACCATGATCTAAATAACAGTAGATATTGTTTTTGTTCCAGGATCCGCCTTGGGAGGGACAACATTCGAAGATGCCGAAATCGAACTTTACAAAAACTCAGGTAAAACTTGAACATCTTGAATTCATTTGAGTAATAACTATCGCGCAAATCTAAGAGAAGTCCTTCTTGCATACAAATCAGTTTTGTCTCAATTTTCAAAGGCTGGGAATTTAGTTGCCGAGCGAGTAACGTTCAATCTAGGACAAACAAAACTGTTCAAGAGACTGCTTAGCTCTAGATGAGGGGTTAGTCGAGGAGTGGGTGAGAAGGGGCTAGTTTATTAAGTGAATTGGCAACTGTTTGCTTTCGAATCCCGCAGCCCAACTTTTCCCAAAGCAATCCAATCTCATATATTACGGCTATTCATTAAATATCCTGCAATTTAACTACACTATATTTTCACTTCCATAGGAAGTGTAAATAACCATGTTTATTGAAATTATCACAAGCTGCTAAATTGATTTATATTGTGAAACAATCTAAGAAAGGGAAATAAAAGTGATTTAAGTCAGGAAAAAAATTTGACACCACCAAATAAAGGCTGTGATGGCTTGGAAAAAACATATCAGGCAATTTGAATGCGGATATTAAAATCGGGAAATCAAATATTCTTCTACAGAACCGATTAGAAACTGATCTTTTATGATATTACTAAACAGCGGCATTTTTCACTGAAAGTTCGAACTGAAAAAAAAAATAGTGAAAGATAATTGAATAACATCTCCAATAGATTCCTCCAATCTCAAAAAATCACTGCTTACAAAACAATCTATTTTAACTGAAATATATTACGACCAGTTGGAAAGAACAAAAAATTCTAAATATGAACAAGGGATATTTTTTGCGATCCCCGAAAAGATTCAAATGAGTGTTTGGTGTGATTTTAGGTATGCTCCTGCCTTCGAATGGACTTTTGGCCCAAAATCCGAACACAAGTCCAGCTCAATACAGATTATCACCTGCAGGATTATGCAACAAAGGTAAACAAGAGACCAATTTCACTCGAACTTCCCACATTAAGTACAAAACACATGAACTGCTCAATTCAGAGCCTCTTACATGATGGGCATATTAAATCAAGTGTGCTTAAATCATCGTCAAGTTCACTCGACTAGCTTGGAACCACGTTCGTAATTCGGATTACGGAGAAAAGAGTGAAAACAAAAGTTGAAGTGTGATCGTTAAGCGAGTGACTTCTAAGAGAAAAAGAGAACATAAAACAATAATTTTTGCATCAAAAAACAATTGATTTAAATTTCAAGTTTATACTCTGTCAATGTATTATCACCCAAAGCCACTAATAAAGGAAGTTATTTATGATAGTTGTAAAACACCTCAATTCCTGTCGCAACAATTCCAGTAGTTCTCACCAGGAAGCAATACAATTAATTATACATTTTGCAAAAGCTCAGACTTAGCCCCATTTAAATTCTAGATACTTTATTTATGCTAATTTGTTTCAGGTTCCGGGCAAATCCAACTGTGGCAATTTCTGCTTGAACTTCTTAGTGAGACTAAGAATTCCAGCTGCATTGCTTGGGAGGGGACTAATGGGGAGTTCAAAATTACAGACCCCGATGAGGTTGCAAGACGGTGGGGAGAACGGAAAAGCAAGCCCAACATGAACTACGACAAAATGTCACGGGCACTGCGTTACTACTATGACAAAAACATAATGACCAAAATACACGGAAAAAGATACGCATATAAATTTGACTTCAATGGTCTGGCGCAAGCTCAAGCAGCCGCTGCTGGAGATCCCGGATACCGCTACCCGGCCGAGATCCCATTTTTCAGCCCTGGTTCTACCGGTTACCACCAAGCCAGTCGGTTTTTCCACAGCCCCACTGCAGCTATGATAAATGGGTCGACCGGAGGTGTTGGCTTTGGAGCACATCCCGGGGCATGCTATTGGCCAGCAGCAACTGGACCAACTTCCAGCATGTATATTGCAGCTGCCACTGGAGCTCACCCGAACGGCAACGGAGCTCACGGAACACACGGAGCCTATTCTCCACATAGCGCAGTGGCAATGTCGGCATTTGCAAACTCGCAGTATTTCAACCCTTACTCTATGTAAACTGTATATTTAGATGATACTGATAATTGTGTACATGTACAAAACAAATTTAGATATAATATTATTTTCCAATGTTACTTGGGTTCTATTTTTGAATTTAATTTTTTTCTTAATTTTAAGCATATATTTTTTCCTATTTCTGAAATACCCAAAATCAAGAGAAAAATGTTCTCCCAAGAAGCAAAAAAATCATCAAGCAAAGCGTTTCGAAAATGTAGATAGATGATTTCCAGAAAAAATGCCTTAAAAAGAACACTGGAAGACACAAAATTCCTATACTGGCCTCCGGTTGAAGCTTTCATACCACTAAATGTGGTTATCTTCATGAACTTGCATCACACAGGCATACATCAACCCACTTTCGCTGTTATAAATCTCGAAATAGAAACCGTACAATCGTAATACAAAATGATCAACTAGTAATGGGGGGGGGGGGGGGCTTTTCTCTGTTACAAGCACTTATTACAATTACGGGTGGCGTATCTATTAACATTTTTGTCATAACAAAAACCCAATTTCAACCAAGTTAGCCGGTTGCTGTGCAAGAAGCACAAAGTTCCAAGTACTTTGTTTTTTCAAATGTGTTCGGTTTTTGTGTGTTGTGTGATGAGAGGAAAAACAAAATTTTAGAACTTAAGAAAATGAATCATAATCGACTTCAGTTAATGCATTGTTGATAAACACAATGAAAACAAAGAAACTTTTTTTCTTAAGAAGTTCAATTTCTGAGTGCATCGAACACAGGCTATTAAATTGCGAAAAAAAACAACAAAAATGGATTCGAAATACAACTTTACGCTCGCTTAAATAAATAAAGTAAGCAATCAAAATGATTCAATGATACTGTCGGCCAAGTTATATATTCCGACTTAATAACACTCTACAGTCCGATTAAATAACGATTTCTAACCGCAAGCGTAATTAACAATTTAAAAAAAACGTGCTGCATTTCATCGTGTTTACCTGTTGAAATGTCATTCCCAAATTAGTGACCAATGTCAAAATGCTTTTTATCCGGAAACAGAGGGCGTTTCACGCTAAAAATTTACCAGCTACTCAAAATACTCGCAGATTATTGTAAATTCAGATGTGCTTTGAAGCACAAATTTTTGTGGTATTTTTTTTCAACTAAAAAAAAGCAACCGGTTAGTTCCGTTTTGCTTTGTCAATTTTGGGTGATGCAACTGGCACATTTTAGTTGAAAAAATTTACAAAAAATTACCACAAAAAATTGTCTAGGTTCGAGTAAGACACAAAGCTCTTTCAGTCGACATTAGAGCTGCAATAGAGAAATCCTAAAACACATGCAAAGTATCGGGAAAAAAATGACATGAAATTTCCACTGCTGAGAGTAAAAGGCCTTGTTCAAACAAGGATGAGCAACAACAAATTTTGAAATTAAATCGGCATATTTTGCACCAAAACTGAAGCACACGAGCGTATTCCCCTTTTAGCTTAACAAAAACCGAAACAATCTTTTAATGTAAAACCGCATCAAAACGTGCCAGTTGCATCACCCAAAATTGACAAAGCAAAACGGAACTAACCGGTTGCTGTATAAGAATCACAAAAAATCATTTATGAAAAAATTTACAAAAAAACTCTTTCAAACTTGCGCCGGTTTTTGTGCGCGGTGTGATGAGGAAAGACAAGAGCATAAAACTTAAGTGAATCAATCAATATAGACTGCAGTTGTCTTCAAAAATGAATAAGTAACAATTTTTTTTTGAAGACTTCTTATGGAACATATACAGAAAAAGTAAATGCCAAATGAAGCATCGAGCAAAAAATGAAAAAAATTACTGTCGAAAAAACTGGTGTAAAAATTTTGTTTTAAGTCTGATTCAGTAAAGCGAGTGAGTTTGGAATGTAATTAAATAAATTTCAGTACGCAAGTTTTGCATGCGAAAAAATGGAAAATGTTGAGCCAGATTTTGTATAATTTCAAAAATTTCGCGAAATATACTAAGTTGGAAATATTTTCAAAAAGACTTCTTATTATTGTACTGTTGTATGAAATAGCTTTTTTCGTTTCACTCGATGAATAAAAAGCATAAAAAAGCATAAGAAATACATGATAATAATGTTCCAATGCAGCCTCCTAATTCAGAAGAGCCATTAAAAGGGTCACAAAAATAAGAACTTTCGTGCCACTAAAAAGCACTTTTATTTGCGCCTTAGGTTGGAAAAAAACTTCCATGGTACTATCACTTTCCGCTCCGCTTGTGTAAAAACTAAAACCCCCCAGTAGACAAGTTCCTCGCCCCTTTCAGTGGTTTGAACAAATTATGGCGTTTGATTTGTGTCATTACAGCTGATGACTTAAAACAGTTTATGGTGAGCATAGGCTTCAACTTCTGGTCAATATGAGCTATATTTTAGCCTGATAAACTTTAGAACGAAGTAGTATGTAAAGGTATAATATGAATATACACAGTTCTTTGTAAAATTGAATTGGGCACCTTTTAAATCCGAATGACCATTCAGATTTAAAAAACTCACGGCGTGAAAAAAAGAAAAGGCAATACAACTTTAAAAACAATAAGTTAATTTGACTGGAAGCTAACCTAAAGCAAAAACAAACAGATACAATCAAAAAGAATCAAGCACAAATTTCTCGTAATTTCTGGAAGAAATAATCTTCTAGAATATTTGCACATTTGTAGTACTCTGTTTCTATATCATTATAGACTCTACAATTATTGAAGATTCGTTGCATGTCTTCTACAAAAGCAGCTCTTTCCGTATAGTGTCCTTTTTTCTGTTTGTCTGTCATCAGTTTCAGATCCATCGGATGTTTGATTACCACGTAATAATCTGGCGCTTCTGTTTTGTCCACTGGTTTCTGAAACGGCCACGCAGACTGGTGAGTTTTAACTAACTTCAAAATTTCCTTCAACTTCTCCTGCAAACTTTCTTCTGCTTCCTGCTTTTGTTTGCTGGTCAATGCAGCCGCTTTCCTTCCCAATAACTCGGGATTTCTTGTTTCCATTTGTTCAATTCTTCTTTTCACAATTTCGATTTGTTGTCTTATTGCCGTAGAAAATTTTGTGTAGGTTATTTTTCGGTTTAGTTGACAACCCATCAAAGTGGCGCCTTCGTACTCTTTGATGTAGCCAGCGTAACTAGTTCTGGGCAGCTTGATATCCTGGGAGAACCCTTGCTTTTTAAAGTATCCCACTGCAAATTCATCAGCATAGGTCAAGAAGTGGTGAATTCCATGTTTAATGTGGTAGTCTTTCAAATGATTCATCAAATGTGTGCCATACCCTTTCACTTGCTCATTTGAACTGACAGCACAAAATACAATTTCAGAGAAGCCTTGTGCGGCAAAGGGTCTATAAGTCACGCCGCCATTAACATTACCTCCCTTTATAATCACCAACGATCGATGCTTTGGATCGAACACCAGACGTGTTATGTACTCTTTCGGCATTCTTGGCAACTGATGAGAAAACACAGTTTGCAGCTGAATTAACCAGTTCAAAACATTATCCGGAGGCACTTTCTCTAAAGTGTTTGAAATCATATGGAACTCAATTATGCCTTCTGATTCCTCCTTTTTTGCAGCCTCATCTCGCGTCATGAACAAACTCATTTCAGACGGTAAATGTTCGTTTTCTCGCTCAATATCTTGAATCACATCCTTCAATTCTTTATCCGGAATAGGACAAAATTTCTGAATTAATTCATCTTTTTTAACAACATCAGGTCCCATTTTATTTCCATTTTTACCTGAACTAATATTTCCATTGAGTGCCGTTGATTTTAGCACCGAAATATGCTTTTGCATTTGAGCTTTGTTCTCTTCGTAATCATCATAACAAGTGCGTTTGTAAGGTATTGCACAATCATCACCGCTCAAATTTCGTCCACTTGCAGTCGAAGCCGGGCTAGTTGCGTCACTGTCGTTTATCGGCGATTCTGGTTCGTCCACTTTCGGCAGCTCTGGTCCCACGACTGCTTTCGCATTGGCGTCAAAACTTTCCGACCAAATGGGGGCATCTGTACTGAATACTTCGTTTTGCAGAACCGCTAAAAACTTAGGTAGGTCTGTGAGAATAACTGTCTGTTTTTCAATAGGCAGCGTCTCTTTGTCAGTTCTAACTTTTTCCAGCAGCTGTCGCCTCATATTAATATAGACTAGTTTCATAAAATTATGTCCAAAAACACAAGTCAAGTCGTACTTAGTCAAACTGTCGCAAAATGTTGGAATATTACATAAACAGAACCATTTTCTATAAAAATTGCGGTAGGATTCGAATTCTTGGTCAGAATTCACAGATTCTCTGAACTTCAGAGGTGTGTCGAGCCTCCAGTGATTTAGACATTGGAGGAAAAATTGGGCCAAGTATCTCATAGTTGTGCTACTTTTTGGAATGTGGTCACTATACCTCAAGATGAGGAAATTCCTAACTGCAGTTTTTATTGGAGGGTTTTCAAAGGGCGGCTTGTGATCCAACTCTATCGTTTCTGAAAGTGATTGCAGCAATCCATTTTTGATAGTTTTTAGAACTGCGAAGTAAGAATGGCGACAATCGTCGTCCTGCTCCTCCGATACACATCTGGTCAAGTTGTCCAAATCCACACATCGTCGCATCAAACTATCCAACTGTTCCTTTTTCAACGACTTCAACTCAGGAACTGCATGACTCGATCTAAACAAAAGCAGCTTAACAAATCAGCAATTTATTTATTAAGACGTTTTATCCACGCGCGAAGGGAGCAACCTACGAGCTGTGCAGCTCTTTGCGGCGCACCATGTTGCGCTTCTGGCTTTTGTTCCCCAAATAAATACTGGCACAAATATATCCAATTTCCACATTCCAGACTGATACACAAGCTAACTAACATAGGCTACACCTTTTAGACTACATACTTTCTAATTCTTATCTTATTTTTAGTGTTCCGACCAGTGGAGGATGGGGAGGAACTTTGTATTCGGTTGTTTTATTTCTTTTTTTAGAAAAACAGACTATTTTTTTTATTTATAGTCTAAACTCGAGCAAATAAAGCAAGCAAGCAGGCTTACAGAAGCTTGTTCATGCTTAATTTAAGCCGTGAAAACTTAGTTTTATACAAGTAAACTTAATTTTTGGAGTTTTTAGCGTCATTTTGTGAATTAAAATTTTTTTGAATTTTTTTGTAATTCTTATACAAAGCCTGTTTTCCAATTTGCCTATTTTACTATGAATGCCGAATATTCCTAGGTTCTAGTTTTTTTTCAGTTCCTTAAATCACATCACGCAGACGAAAAGACACTAATTTGAAGAAAAAAAACTTAGACACTAAGGTATTTTTACACAGAGGCGAAGCTGCGCTCCGCAAACACTAGCGAGAACACGGCAAAAAGCAGCTCTTTAAAGTGCAATAAGATAAATTTGAATCAAGCCTCGAATTACTAAAAATTCGACCCTGTGGCCTACAGGTTATGAGCCACACGCACTAACCACTAAGCCATGGACGCTTAACTTATCACCAACAGTAGACGCAAAGCAGAGAACAGATGCTATAAAATTTCTAATGTCACCGATAATGATTATAGCAAAACTGAACACTTTTTTTAGCAAGTTAGGCTGGAAAAAAAAGAAGGTTCGTACTTATACACTACGCTTGAAGTTTGCTAGTGTAATAATACTATGGTCGGAACATTCTGAGATTCTTGTACAGTGAGACAAAGAAAGAGATTCTTGTACAGTAACCGACCATCCTGGTCGCTATCCCTTAAATGCATACTATTTCAATAAAACACAAAGCTATTCTTACGCTATGATTGCGTATAGAACTCTAGCTGCAAAACTTATATGTCAGGATTGTCTTGGGTTTAAAATTTTAAATAAATCACTCAGAAACGAACTTTCCCATATACCGAAAACTTTCATTAAAAGCAGTTGAATCTATAAAAAAAGGCAAATTTTATCAACAAATTATACAAAATGCTCCCAAAATTTTCAGCTAGATACTGCTCAGCTTTATAGCATAGCGACAAAGAGACGAAACAAACTATCTCCAGCGATAAGTGACATCCAATATTAATTTAGTACAGAGAATATGGTCAGGTCCCAGCTTCCTCGGCATGAAACTGGCGTTGTTATTTTATAACAACGGCAGTTTCGGCATAACACATTGTTATTTTATTTGGACACTAGATAACATTCATAAAAGAAGTAACCTTTTGTGCTCGCAGTTTGAGCAGAACGCCATCTCTGGGCTCTCATAAAAGTCATAGGCTGCATTATTCTGTTTGCTACGGTACCCTTCGCATTCCATTTCACAAGGGCACGAACCACTTCCTCCACCGCTACACTTCATGAATCGGGAAACAACTGCCAATTTATCCACTGTGTTCAAAGCGTACAGATTGAGTTTGAACTCGTGGATGATGTTGACGCTATATCCGAACCATAGTTCACTGTGTTTGATTTTAGCTATTTGTTCCTTCAGGTTGATTACATCTTCAATTTGGGACTTCACTTCCGATTTGCATTTAGAGGTATCCATGCTTTGTCCCATGGATTTCATAACCTAACCTTAAAACGACTGAAGATAGATCAGATAAAATTGAGAAAATAAGAACTACGAAATAATTACATGAAACAAATTTTCACTAATTAACCGCAAATCACACTTGGATGGTGTCCGGCAGATAACACGACAGCTGCCGGAGAGTGACCGTGGCCGAGTCAGTAAAATGCGCGGCTCCTGGGTTCGAACCCCACTTAGGTCCCTCAAGACGACAACGTAATCAACAATTTTTTTAGACTGATGTTTGGTAAGGCTGTCTTACCGCTGGAAAAGTATCCTTGATATGTCTATTATATACACATGATACTTGGTTTTAGCATTAAATTTAAAAACACGCCCATCAGTTTCGAAAACATGAATGAAAATATGTACGAATGACATCATGAGAGATCGAACAACCAGTGGCGTTTTTAAGTGGCCTTTTTAAAAAAATGAACCACTGGATCAATTGAGCAATATCCCCCACTTCCGTAATGAGCAATTGAGCTAACTCCCCCAATTTTTTTTTGCAAATTTTTGTTTGGACGACCATTGCCTCTCATCGAGGAAAGTGAGTTACAAGAGAATCAACATTAAAACCAAAAATTTGATAAGTTAGAGAAACTAGGTAAGATAGTGGTTTCAGTGACCCAAAATAGCTACAAACTAAAGGAAAAAAGCAACGTACTAAAAACTTGCGGAGATTAAAGTTAAAATTTACAACTAACGCAGATAAAAAATTATAAAACAAAGTTCCTTGGTTGTATTGGACACTTACGTCAAATCTAAAATAACTGAAAGAGTAGGGTTGTTCCAGGCGGTTCCCAAGCTTATCACCCCGTGTTTTGTAACCCCCTTTTTCTTAACCCCCTCTCATATAACCCCTAAATCAGATAACCCCACTACAATTTAATCCCTTTTTAAAACCAATTGTTAGAATCAAAGTGAAAGTTACTTGAAAAGGATTCGGAACCATATCGTCGGTAAGCATCAAAGCTTTAATTGCGAAAAATTTTGCGAACCAAAATGAGTTAACACGCACGCTGCTAAATGCGTTTTAGATTTGAACAGAAATGACCTTGCCGATAGTCTAGACTTTGATATGAACTTGAAAACGAATCCGACCGACATGATTCAAATTGGTGCATATACAAAACAGTCCAAAACCATTTGAATTTCTTAACCTTGATCTTTTGGCGCCGACAGAATTGATCTACGCTTTGAAAACTCAAACATGGGCTTAATTAAGATCAAAGAGCCAAACTTGGAAGAAATTTTCGGATGACAACCAAAGGCCTCATGGTGTAATGGTTAAAGCGTTAGTCTCAAAATCTAGAGTTCAAAGGATCGAATCCCTGGCGGCACAAAATTTTTTCCAATTTTCCCAAAAAAGTTGAATTTCGGGTAAATATGATAACGGGTATATCAAGGGTACAATAAATGGGTTAACCTTACAGGGTTGGGCGGAGGGAAAAGAAAAGTCAACACCTTGTATGTATTTATTATTTTGCCGGTTTCAAATCGACTCTAGCTCAATTTTGAAAAATCAAGGAAAATAATTAAACTTGGAAAAATTTTTATTGCTTGGCAATATAGATTAAATAGCAAATATTTAGCTCAAGTTCGCCATAGCGCGAAAGAAATGCAAATCAGTTTTTTCTTCGTAAACATGCATAATATTCTGCACTTTTTCGTTGAGCACCCGGTATTTTTTCTTTTTTGTAAATTGGTGCCCACTCGAGGCGTTATAGAAATTAAGTTTTTGGACGGACGCGTCTTTTTGCAAATTTGCAATCACTTTCCATATACTGGGATGCGATCCACTGAAGTATGACTGTATGCCATAATGCCAGCCCTCTACAGCATTTGCTGTTCTGGCCAAACCCGATGATGCCGCATCCCTTTGATTCCATAACGAAGGGGGGAATAGGGCTTTTATATATGCATATATGCAAGCAGGGGCTATTCCTGAAAGACTAACGTGTATGGAGTAAAGTTGATAAAACATTTTCGGTGTGACTTTAAAAGTTCCATCAGCCAACCAAAAGTTGGATGTTTCAAGCACACGTAGCATTTCAGGGTCACCGAATAAAATAATCCTCTCGTGATCATTTTGCCCACTGTCAAATCTTATAAAATTTTTGAAAAGTTCGGGTATTTCGAAACTTCTGTTTGCTGGGGAGACTGGTAATACTTCTTCTCGTTGCTTGCGCGCTCGTTGTGCGGTGCGAACTAAATTTTCTTTGGATGGTAGGGCTAGTTGAGTGGCAATGTTGTCTGTAATTGGCTGAATGGCGGTTGCGACTGCGACGGTTGGGGTGTTACTATCGCTTAGCTCCTTGATGTTTTTCAAAACTAGTCGAGCATCAGGTTTGCCCGTGGAAATATCGTGATTATGTTGACCCCTCGTTTCAATAAAATTTTCTCCTTCCGTAATTGCTGTTGCGCGGCATTTATGGGTTTGGTACTTTGAGCAGTTCCAATTTGTTGTTGTCTTGTTTTTTCGTTTAAGGTAATACTCGTGGCCTGATACCACTAGCATTTGTTTATCTTTCGAAGATAAAGTAAAATGGAATGACGCTTCAAACATTATATCTGATCTGATAGAGTGGTATAACAATGGTTAAAGAAATAGGCAGCATGATTTTTTATGAAACTCACAAACGTCTTTTGTTGCCTTCAATTAGCACCATGTAGGTTATCTGTTTTAAACGCGTGAGTGAGGGATTATTTCTCTAACTAATCGAAATGCAATTACTTTTGAGATGCTAGAGGCATCAAGTGAATTAAGACTAGCTTTTCAGGCCTCAATTAGTAAGCTTAATTGGACTACTCCTGTACTTTTAAAAAGGACTTAATTTGAAACAAATTATCGTCATTAAAAGGGGGTTAAATTGTTGTGGGGTTATCATGTTACGGGGTTATGATATAGGGGGTGTAAACAGAGGGGGTTAAATATCGTAGGGTTAAAGAGTGGGACACCGTTCCAGGCACAATTCTCGGGTTGATTCTGGCCATACTTCTTTTTCAAGCGATACTACATGATCTTTCAATCGGGACTTTGCTAAAGTTAGTTACAAATTCAAAATTGGTTGATTTTTGGACGCCACTAGTTCCGAATAAAAATAAATTATCAATTTTGTTCGAAAGGTATCAATCAGGAATTAAAGGATGCTACACTTTAGAGGTAACCGATATAACTATGCTCGGGAGTCGCCTAAATAACCGAATTCAGATTCAGAGAAAGGTTTATTTATACTCCGGAAATATATTTAGCCGCTCTATCGAATCCATGCTAAAAATATGCGGTCCGAGGAAAACGAATCAAACAAAATCAGACGCCATCTCTCAGAAGTGACAAACTCAATAGCAAGACCGTGATAAGATCGGGAAGATACGACTCGATCAACTTGCTGAGCTATCCTTATCAACTGTGGATTCGGTTAGGAAGAACACAAACACTGCTAGGTTACAATGTTCCATCAACGGTTAGGCGCGAATGGTCATGGCTGTGTATGTCAAACTTATGTTACTTCCAAACTTTAATTTTATATTGTTTGTTTGGATGTTGAGTGGTTTTAGAATACGATCATCAAGTAGTATTCTCAAAGCTTTAATTGTGTGTACTCTGTTGATGGTAGCAGAACTCTAACGATCAACTATTTTGGGCCTACGAGAACTCTATCACAACATTTTCTTCGTTTTTGGGACCACCAGCATTCATCAGTGAAGCCAAAAAACTTTGCTGAATTTCGACGTGATTTGGAGCATTGATCTAGATTGACAACGGTCAAGCCTGAATTGCAGGCAGAAACGGTTGTGTACCGTGTCGGCAATAGAGAATAAAAAAGATTTTCGGAGAAAGTTTAACAGGTGCCGTAGACGGCATAAGCAACTTTATGAGTTTTTTTTGCAAAATTTACGAAGATGGCATGAGGGACTCTTATGACAAATATGTGGACTTCAAAAACTGAAAACGCAAAGTGGAGAGAGTATTCAAGACTTCATCGCCGACTAGTACAATCTCTATCACAAATGCAAAAAACGCCAGACGGGAAATTCCGGACAGAGATGTGTTTTGAGCTTCTACAGGCAACCCTACTGGAGGAACGGGAAGTTCAAATATTTTAAATGGACGTAGACTACAAAAAAGGCAGAGAAACTAAAGATCTAGCTCTTCAAAGGAAAGCCGCTTGAAGGAAGTCCCAGGAAAACCATTTATGAGCAGCACAAATGAAAAATTTTTAACAGAAGATGTGAAGTCAGTCCTGATTGCCAAAGGTTGGCACAAACCCAGAAAACCCAGGTCTCCGAATAATGAAGACAGTCAGAAAAATAATTTGGAAGCAAAAACCCGCTAGACAGAGATAGCAATGTGCTAAAATGTTTCTAATGCAAGTGTGACCATGAAAAACCATGTAACTGCCCGTGAGTCTATCATTTAGTTGATGCTTCTCCGACCAAGAGAAAGAAAGGCGACTAACCTCTACTTGCGGGTAGATGAACATCAACCATAAAGAACTGGGACTATTCATGCATACAAACACGCTCGATGTTAGTTTCAATACAGATGACATATGCTTAGTAACGAAGACTTTGAGCGAGCTCTGTTTGGCAGCAGAAACAACATCAGAACATTGATAGATTGCGCGTGTCCTACTACGGTAACCGGAGTTAACTGGCTGAAGCGGCTGATTGCTGGTTTACTAACAGAACAGCGAAATCGAGATATTGCATCACCATCAAATAGAATATACAAGTTCGCTGGTGGAGAAAGACGTGCCAACCGGAGTTAACTGGCTGAAGCGGCTGATTGCTGGTTTACCAACAGAACAGCGAAATCGAGTTATTGTATCACCATGAAATAGAATATACAAGTTCGCTGGTGGAGAAAGACGTGCTAACCGGAGTTAACTGGCTGAAGCGGCTGATTCCTGGTTTACCAACAGAACAGCGAAATCGAGTTATTGTATCACCATCAAATAGAATATACAAGTTCGCTGGTGGAGAAAGACGTGCTAAACGGAGTTAA